CTAATGTAGACATTCCTAAACCCATTGAATTGGTTAACTGTGTGGTATAAAGAACCAGTCCCAGTTAGGAGGTGGAGCGCTCAAAATCAAAATAACTCACCCCCCTTGGAACTCTTGGTAACCTAAGGGGGGGATAAAGAGTAATAGTGTGGTATGCTTCAAACAAGTTGGAGTGAAATGATTGTATAAGGATTCACTTACATGGTTCTGAGCCTTAATAGGACAGGTTCAGATCACTCTAGCAGGCGTGTATTAAGGCAACACATGTCCTTTAAATGGTAATTCTTCTATTTTCCTTCTGGAAATAACAAAGACCAATATGTGGTGTAGTGGGTTTAGGAATGTTGGTATATATGAATAAGTCAATAGAACTGCTCACCTTGATTAGAGCCTGTGACCTGGCTCTAAGTATGACAGCATATGTGTCGATAAGGGGACACAAAGCCTTCTTTGAGGATAGCAGGAACTCTGGATACTGAAGTCTTTTAAAAGATGTGTGAGGTCCTCATTGGTTAATTGGTCATTTCTGCCCTCCGCATTGATCGCGGCTGTTATCCCTTGTTGTTACGCTCGCCGGGAGGACAAGACTATTCACACGCATGACCTTATCAATTCTAGGGCTGCAGAAAACTTTGTTGATGCCGCTTTTGCTAACGCCTATTCACTCCCTTTTAGAAAAAAATCCACACTCTTGGCCGTAGAGGCCATAGATGGTAGACCACTTAGTGGTCCTGTGATCACAAAAGAAACCTTTTTGATGATTGTAGGATTGTTACATCAAGAAATGATAATCCTTCCTTTTCTATTGTTTTAGGATTTCATTGGCTTTCTAAACACAATCCCTTAATAGATTGGGAGACTAAAGAAATCAAGAGTTGGAGTGGTTCATGTATGGAGGGTTGGGTTTCTAAAGTCAAACCAGTGTGCCTCATAAATTTTCCCACCATGGAGCTTTTATCCACTAAGGTGCCTGAATCGTATAGAGAATTGAAAGCCATGTTTGAAAAGAAAGAAGCCGATAAGCTACCCCCAGATCGTCCTTACGATTGTGTGATCAATTTACTACCTGGTACTATGTCACCCAAGGGTACTGTTTATCCCTTGTCATTCAAGGAAAATGTAGTACTAGAGGAGTATATTAAGGAGAATCTAAAGAAAGGGTTCATAACCATATCTTCCTCTCCTGCTGCTGCAGGATTCTTTTTTGTTTCTAAATTTTAGATTTTAGGCCCTGTATTGACTTCCCATTGACTTTTGTGGACTAAATAAGATAACTGTAGCGGAGATGCAATATTCCCCAGGTATCTCCGCTTATAATCCAAGTGAGGCTCAGGAACAAGTAAATTGTAAATCCACAGGCAAGGTCTCCAGCAGGCAAAATAACACAGCAATATCCCACAGCAATCCCAATAGCTGGACGACACAAAGTTTCAGGAGCAGAACTCAAATCTTTAATCCACACTGGCCTTTTAAAGCATGCTCTCATGCAAGGGAGGGATTACATTCATTAATACAGTAGCCAATCCTGTCCTGGTAACCTCCCACACATCTCCTCCCCTCAGCCAGCATCATAATCCCCTCATCCAGTACAGTAATTCCCCCCATTTCTGGATGTACCCCTAAACGAGTTTTCCAGGACTTCATAAATTAAGTTTTAAGGGACCATTTACACAAATTTGTTATAGTGTATCTAGATGATATCCTGATTTATTCTAAAAAACCTTGAAAGACCTTAAAAGCCATCTCGTACTTTCAGAATTGCTCGAAAATGGTTTGTATTGTAAGTTGGAGAAGTAAAGTGACACAAAAGGTAAGGATAGTATTAGACTAGTAACAGTTGCAAAAGAGGAATCAGTCAGGTTTTTAATGATTTATTTGAAGGAGTGGAGACTGGGTGAGCACCTAACGGAGGAGGGAAGTGAGTTCCACAGGAACGGGGCAGCCCTCGAGAAGTCTTGAAGGCGAGCATCAGAGGTAGGAGTATGGACAGAAGATAGACGTAACTCTTCAGCAGAGCGTGAGGGCCTAGATGGGACAAACTTGTGTATTAGGGAGGATAGACAGGTGGGAGCAGCATTATGTAGAGATTTGAAAGCAAGAACCAGAATTTTAAATTGAGCCCTATATCTTACAAGAAGCCAATATAGGGACTGACTGAAGGGTGAGGCGTGGGAGGTGTGGGCGGACAGGAAGATGAGCCTAGCCGACGCATTCATTATGGACTGTAATGGCTCAAGTTGGGAGGAGCATGTAAGACCACTGAGAAGCGGATTACAGTAGTCAAGGCGAGAAAGGACAGTGGAATGGACCAGCATCTTAGTCGCATTTGGCACTAAGTAGGGTCGGAGGTGCGCAATGTTATTGAGATGGAAGCAGCAGGATGTGTCCTTTTTTGGGGAGGCTAAGAGGCTAACAGAGAGGCAGGCACGTTGGTCTCTGTTCTTGTCTCTCTTAAACTACATTGTGACTTACAGGCCAGGTTCCAAAAATACTAAGGCTAACGCATTATCTCGTCAACTAGTCAGCTAGTCCCGAACCCCAATTACAGCTGATTGTTCCTAAAGAATGTTTAGTGGTCACTACTAAGTTACAGATTAGATCAGCACTGATGAATTTACTAGAAAACTTAAAGGATCACGCTCCGGAGAATACACCACTATGGCTGAACTTACCACCTTTCTCGCATTTTCCCCTAATTTCATTTGTTTTACCCTTTTTTGGTTCCGGAGTACTTCATACAAACTAAATCCATTTGTCTCCCATACGAGAACCACCCCTGTAGAACATTTACAGCAGCAACTTAAGTGTGAAACTGCAAGGGGAGTAATTAATTAATGCTACCTCTGGGTTTAACCGAACGCACGTGATAGACAAAAGAATGGCGGCCATCTTGTCTCCCGAACGTGGGCAGCGGTATTTGGTCGTTGAGTGCCTGGAATTCTTTTCGGCTAGGCACTCTTATGAACCCCGGAAAAAATCAGACCACTGCCCTTCTATTTTCAGACCACCTATACGAACGACTTTCGGGAGATATGAGCTACCGAACAGGGGGAGCATTCGTACCCTGAAACCAAGAGATTCCCTTACATGGTGTTCGCACATAAACCCCCAGAGACCGGCCGGTCAAAACGTTACCTCGATGGCATTCCCGTTTCACCGAACCGATCTGAGTGATCTTTGGATATGTTATACACTCAGATCATGGCTATCCAGGAATGTACTTTTTATGGTGGTGAGTATGGTGGTACACTTTTGGGGTATTGTACATTTTGTATGGATTTTCTGAGATAATTGGATTATAGGTTTTTCTCACGCAATCATCTCTCAGGCACAGAGGATCCTGGGATTAAAAACCCTGTATTTGTGTGTTGGAAACCCCATGTAGGGGTCAGTGTATAAAAGCCATGTGTGGCCTGAATAAAATCAGTTGACTCCAAGGACTATGTTTTGTCTGGTTACTGGGGGAATGGATGTCTGCTTATATTCTAATAAATACAAGTCCCTACGGAACATAGGGAAACAGTTCTTTCTCTTATACATGAGAGCAAGAAAGTGGGTCATCCAGGGATCCATAAAACTGACGCGCTGCTATCTAAACAATTCTGGAGGCCTTCTTATAAAAAAGACATTCATGATTATGTAAAAGCCTGTGTTACTTATGCGACTAACAAGTCGTTGCATAAACAGTTATTTTGACTATTATAGATAGGTTTTCCAAAATGTCTAATTTAATACCTCTACCTACACTACCTACCTCCTCCGAATTGGCCTCTATTTTCACCAAAGAGATAGTCCGGTTACATGGATTACCCAAGGAGATAGTCTCAGATAGAAGGTCACAATTCGTATCCTGTTTCTGGAGGGCTTTTTGTAAACAATTAGAAATCGAACTGTGTTTTTCTTCTTCGTACCACCCACAAACGAATGGTGCTGCAGAAAGAATGAACCAAAACCTTGAACAGTTCTTACGATTCTTCATTTCTGAACCTTGAGCAGAATTTGCCCATAATAACAAATCCATTCAACATAGTCCATTTTATATTAACTATGGGTTTGATCCCATTATACTACCTGAGACCTCTCCTATCACCAAACTGCCTATTGTGGAAGAAAGAGTTAGGGAGATTCATGAGACTTGGATTGGTTTTTACAACAGATCCTAAAGCACAAAATTTACGCTGATAATCATCGATCAGCAGCTCCTATGTACATGGAGGGTGACAGTGTTTGGTTTAGCACTAAGAATATCAGGTTACAGGTTCCGTCTATGAAGTTAGATCCTTGTTACATCGGTCCTTTTAAGATACTTAGGAAACTCAATCCCATTTCATATAAGTTGCTCTTACTGTCTTCATTAAGGATACCTAATGCCTTTTGAGACGGAACTCCGGCTGTTCGTGGTTTTCCCTTGTATTATGTGTTTCATGTATTGTGTCTGTATATGCAGCTGTGGGCCCCCTCCCCCCTTCTTTTGTGAATGTAGTGTCTGCCTGGACCTCTCCCCCCTTTTCCCCCTCTCTTTTCCTGTCACAGCAGGACGTTGCCACAGAGACACTGCCAGCCCAGTTTAACCTAGATGTTTTGTCCTTCATCCCTCCCCCTTCAGCTTCTTGGGATTGAAACCCCTGTTGTTTTTGTGTTGGAGACCCCATGTAGGAGTCTGTGTCTGTAAAAATCATGTCTACAAAATAAACAAAGTCAGTCAGTGTTGTAACCTCCAGGACTGTGTTTCGTCCAGTTACTGGGGGTAAAACGGATGCCTGCTTGTTGTAAGGGTTCCTGAATGGCTGAAGGAAGGGAAATAGCAGAGGTAACCGGTCAGATTACCTGTGGTCCGCTACACCTTTCATGTTTCTTTACTCAAACCTTTGTTGTGTAACCGTTACACGAAACCTATCTTGAGGGCTTCTCTATTCCTGTGAATGGACAGAAAGAGTATGAAGTTAAATCTATTTTGTATTCCAGGGTTTCTCGTGGTAGACTACAATATCTTGATTGGAGAAGTTACAGTCCTGAAGAGAGATCATGGGAGGATGCTCTGGATGTCGATGCTGCTCGATTGGTCTGCTCATTCCATGCTCGATTCCCTGATCGACCTGGTCCTTCCCCCCCACCCCGGTGGGCGGTTCTGGGAGAGGAGGCATGTGATTGACCGCCTGGCACCACGACCGGATACCTCCGTCAATCGATGCTCCTAGTGCTTTCCGAGGGCTCCAAGCACTCCACCAGACACCATAAGCACTGCAGACCCCACTTCCAGCAATGCAGCTGTCCTCCACCCACCCTGGACCCAAGACCACGATCCAGCTCCCAGTGGGCAGACCTCTCCTACTCCATAGAGCGTAGCAGGAACAAGTCCCTAGTGATTATACTCAGGGGAGTATTGTGATTATAGCAATCCCCAAGAGTGTAGTTATCCAATCCCCCAAACATGAGCCAAGACTTCATGAAGGGGTAAACCAGGTCTTTTTAATGCAAATCAGCACTTACAATTTATACACACATTTTAAACCCCCAACAGCCTCATTTACTTACAATTGGTAACATAGAGCACTATAGTACAAGGAAGGGTGGCGTCAGACAATAGCAAAGGCTGATAGGAGATTGGGAAGGGACAAAGCAGCCGGTTTAAACTGGTCTGGCAGTGTCCCTGGGACAACGCCCTGCTGGGGAAACAATAGGACAGGAAAAAGGGGGGAGGGGAAGAGGTACAAGCAATACATTCAACATACTCCTCCTGTGTGTCTCAGAGATAATTATCTCCAGGCACAGAAAAACACACAATTTACAAACACCCCAAAAGTACACCCAAGATCCATTGAAACCCCACAAGAGTCACATCCTCGGATAGCCCTGATCTGGGTGACCGACATATCCAAAAATCACCCAGATCGGTTCAGTGGTTTGGTTTTTCCATGTAAGTCCCCTTTTAACATGTCTTTTTGCAGGGCCCATAATCCTGGGGCAAGAGGCTGGTAAGCAGGCCCCTCCAAGTACCGGTGGCGAGGTTACTTTCGCCACAAGGTACTTATTCCTTTGCACCTACGTGCTGCAGAATCCAAGGCCAGCCCCTCTCACAGTATGTTCCCACACCAGACGCTGGAATCATGCCCCTTTTTCTGATGCAGCATGACGTCATGACGTCAATGAAGCGGGCCAATACCAATATCAATACTAATACTGGCCCAGAATGTTTTGGGGGTGTGGTCTTAAAGCAAAAAAATGCTCCCTTATAAAAAGGGCGCCTTTTGCTTTGTTCCTTGCCCTATTGTGGCTCCTTGTGTTCCCCTTAGTGCTGTTTGGTTCTCCTTGTAATTATATTGATATTTCTGTGTTTTATTGTTTCTAGATATATTTATCTATAACAGATCCACAAAATTATTTCTCTTACGTCTGTGGATTTTGTTCCATTTCATATTCCAGTTCTGTAGATTGACTGGGTATCAGGTAAGTGGTTTTATTAACTTATTTAGATTTTGGTTTTATATTACATTTCAGTTCCCTCTTTATTTTTATGTATGTCATGAATTCCAAACACTTCAAAATATATTTGTAAATTTGGACAATGTCCAGTTCTAAAATGCATACTTTGCAGAAAACATGTGGTTGTGTGCCTTTTTTTTTTTTTAACTTTGCTACCTTTTTAAATACCTTTACATTTAAGATAACATCCTGGTCCTTGGCCACTTTAGTTTATTCTTGATAAGCATGTCTATGGATAAGGGAAGGCAGAAGAATTTGGGGCTCATGCACTGTGCATGTGACAATAAGGTGAATGAGTCTATATCCAGTGTTAGTGGAATAGAGGTCAATAGATTTCTTTACATCACTAGTGTGAAAGGTGAAAAGAGAATATGCACAGGCTGAGTGCATGAGAGTCAAGCACTTGCCTCCCAGTGCTTCCCAATGCAATGGAAAAGCACTGGAGTGACTGAGATCATCAATATCAACGATCTCAGACAAAGTAGCACAGCTTCACAGAGGAAGCGAGGGAGGTATATAAACAAACTTTTTTAACCTTGGCAGCACTAGCTCAGTCACCTAAACAGTGATTAGGGCACTATAGCATTTGGAATACATATTTGTATTTATAACGCTATAGTGTTCCTTTAAAGGGGCACTATAGTGCCAGGAAAACAAACTAGTTTTCCTGGCACTATAAGGTCATTAGGTCCCCCCCACCCTCAGGGCCCTCATCCCGCTGAGCTGAAGGGGTTAAAGCCCCTTCAGCCACTTACCTTTCTCCAGCGCTGGGCACACTCGACGCTGGGGAACTCTCCTTCCTCTGCCAACGTCAGCTCCGAATGCGCATGTGCGGCAAGAGCCGCACGCGCATTCAAACCTGCCCCTAGGAAAGCATTACTCAATGATTTCCTATGGACGTCCAGCGTCTTCTCACTGTGATTTTCACAGTGAGAATCGCGGAAGCGCCTCTAGCAGCTGTCAGTGAGACAGCCACTAGAGGGTGGATTAACCCTCAGTGAAACATAGCAGTTTCTCTGAAACTGCTATGTTTTCAGCTGCAGGGTTAAAACTAGAGGGACCTGGCACCCAGACCACTTCATTGAGCCGAAGTGGTCTGGGTGCCTATAGTGGTCCTTTAAGTTAGTTGTATGTATACACCTATTTGCAGGGGTTTGCCCTGTGGGAAAGGCGTAAATAATGTACAAAAATCTGCTAACATGAAAGGGAGGTGTACACTAGCAATTAAAATATAACCATTATTCAAAAACGTAATACTCTAAGCACCACAATCACAACAGCACACTGAGTGATCATGGTGTCAGAACGGCCTTGGCAACCACTGAGGTATGAAGTCAAACTGATAAGTAACTTCTTACCTGTGGTCCACTAGGCACCGCTCCCTGTCTCCACCACAATGCACCAATCCCTGTCTCTCTTTGGCTGAGAGTGATTATTTAAAGCTCTCAGCCCATGAGCTGGCACTGGACTGCAGGGTTTAGCTCAGGAGAGTTAATGGAGGTAGTCAACCCAAACAACCTACATCTATTCACACACTTTATATACAGCCCTTCATATACACATTAAACACAGTTGCACATACAAAAATTACATATGCAGTTACATATATGCATTTGTAAGAAATCTGCACTTAAAGGGTAACTCCAAGTACCATGACCACTTCTGGGATACGAAGTGGTCATGGTGTCTGGAACCTGTATGTGCAGCATTTCGCTATGAAATGGACTTGGAGCTAGATCAAAGTGAGTTTTAGCTTTATTTCTTTTTATTTTGGGACAGAGGAGCACAGCAAGGGTTACTTTAACCGAAAACAATGTTTTATAAAAACAAGGTTGGTTTAAAATGTTGGGAATTGGAAGGTGTTCCACCAGCATCTGCACAGTTATGCTCCCAACTGTCCTCGATCCAGCAGGAACATTTTGAATTACATGTCTTGTCCTGTTGTCCCGGATTGGCTCCTTCTTGACCCACATCTAGAAACAGTAAGAATACTTCCTGTACCAGGGTGTCGAAGAGACCTGGTTCACCTCTGTCATATGGGTAAGATTTTATAATTATGCTTACATAAACGACAGCTTCCTTCTCTTGCTCACAATTGCCCTGTCATATAGGCCTATGCCACAAATTGATTGACCAGGAAAGAGACCTTATTTTTAAATAACCTGAAGATTTACACAAACTTGACATATCTAAAGTGGAATCCAGATGTATGAAGGAGACAGGAAACATCACAGGCGCAAGTTGAAGTTTCAAACCATTCGCAAACAAACTAACCGGGCTAGAGACCTCGGCTTGAGGGAACAGAGAGTTACTCTGCCAGGAGCAAAGCACTGGCATAGTTCCTGTGAGCTCTGGCAGGTTACTACGGCAACACTCTAAGCATCAGAGCTCATGAGAGAAACCCACACTGCCAGCATCCATTGGAGATGCACAGGAGATACACTGGACCACCAAAGTAAGGTAGCCAGAGGCTGAGGACTACAGTGAGTATGTATATGTGTAACATTAGAAATAAATAAAGGAGTTTAACCCCTTAAGGACGGAGCCAAATGTACACGTTGTGAACAAAACAAAATGTAAACAAAACCTGGCATTTGCGCTACATGTCTGTCCACCTCTTTCATATTAAATACACCCACCCTTATTATATATCATTTTATTCAGGGGAAACAGGGCTTTCATTTAATATCAAATATTTAGCTATGAAACATAATTTAATATGAAAAAAATTGGAGAAAATAAGATTTTTGTTGATTTTTTAGTTCTACATGACATTTTAACTGTCAATGTCATAATACGGTTTGCTTTTACTGCAATAAAATACACATATTTGTATTCAGCAAAGTCTCACGTGTAAAACAATACCCCCTATGTACAGGTTTTATAGCGTTTTGGGAAGTTACAGGGTCAAATATAGCACGTTACATTTGAAATTGAAATTCGCCAGATTGGTTACGTTGCCTTTGGGACTTTATAGTAGCCCAGGAATAAAATGTACACCCACAATGGCATACCATTTGCAATAGTAGACAACCCAAGGTATTGCAAATTGGGTATGTCCAGTCTTTTTTAGAAGCCATTCGGTCAGAAACACTGGCCAAAGCTGGCGTTAGTATTTGTTTGTGTGAAAAATGCAAAAACGCCAATTTTGGCCAGTGTTTGTGACTAAGTGGCTACTAAAAAAGACTGGACATACCCCGTTTGCAATACCTTGGGTTGTCTACTATTGCAAATGGTATGCCATCATAGGGGTAATTTTCATTCTTGGGCTACCATAGGGTCTCAAAGGCAACGTAACCAATCTGGCGAATTTTAATGTGAAAACAATGAAACGCAAGCCTTATATTTGACGCTGTAACTTTTGAAAACACCATAAAACCTGTACATGAGGGGTACTGTTGTACTCGGGAGACTTAGCTGAACACAAATATTTGTGTTTCAAAACAGTAAAAAGTATCACAGCAATAATATCGTCCGTGTAAGTGCTGTTTGTGCATGAAAAATGCAAAAAACGTCATTTTTACTGGCGATATCATCGTTGTAATACATTGTACTGTTTTGAAACACTAAAATTTGTGTTCAGTGAAGTCTCCCGAGTAGAACAGTGCCCCCCTGTACAGGTTTTATGGTGTCTTGGAAAGTTATAGGGTTAAATATAGTGCTAGCAAATTAAATTCCCTTTACTTTCGGCATGGCTTGTCAGGCAGGTCCCGCTAATTGTAATTAATTAAGATACCTAATTATGTAAAAATTTATATATATATATGTAGAATTAATATATGTATATATATATATATATACGTATGTGAATATATATATATACGTATATATTTATGTATATAGATATATATATTATTTCGTTCTACGTGTATTTTGATATAAATATATATATATTAATATCACAATACAGTTAGAATGAAATAACACACATCTATATATTTTTTAATAATTTTTTTAATTTTATTTTTTAACGTATTTACATATTAAATTTTTTTTATATTATATATAAATGTATATATAACAATAATTCTATATATATATATATTTAATCAGGATCAGTCTACGTGTAATTTGATATTAATATATATTAATAGTAAAATACACCTATATAGTGTACGTGTGTGTATGTATATGAGTATATATATACTTAGATCATATATATATAATATATATATATATATATATGATCTAAGTATATATATATTTTTTTTACACTTATTTAACTTTTTAAAATTTTATTTCCAGCCAGCAGGGGGACCACCTGTCATTACAGGCAGCCCCCCTGCTGGCAATGCAGCAGGCAGCTAACCCTGTCATGTGATTGTGAGGTCCTCTCACATGGCCAGGGGGGCTGCCAGGGGAACGGACGTGCCGCGGGGGGCTCCCTGGGAGTCCCCCCAACCGCGATCGCCGGTGTGGGATCGCCGGCGACCGGGTAAGTATAGAAAGACCGGAGGGCGTACTATTACGCCCGGCGGCGTTTAGAGTCGCCTAAAATAGGGCGTAATAGTACGCCTCCGGTCTTAAGGGGTTAAGCATGCATGGGATATGCACAAGGCTATCCTAACTATAAAATAAAGCCAGGGACTAATGAAAGTATTTTTAAAAAACTGGGCATACTAGATGGGCCGAATGGTTCTTATCTGCCGTCACATTCTATGTTTCTATGTTTCTAAATGTAAAAAAAACAACAAAAACAGACTGAGCAGTACTGGGAGAAAGAAGCATTACATAACACTAAGGCCCAGTGGTTATTAGACCTGAAAGCATACCATCCAAGCTCCCAGAACAGGGACCATCACAGTCAGAAATCCAATAACGATTAGGCCAAGTGAAGGGTTGTTCAGCATCAGATTCTTACATGAACAAAACCTACTGGAAAAAGAAACTAACAACACCCAAATGAACTACTAGCAACAGGGTTCCACCCTGACTGGCTATCATGAGGCACAACAATACTGGTCATAAGGGACTCTCATGAGGGAACAACTTCATCTAACTACCGACCAGTCACATGGCTCCCCAAAACATGCAAGTTCTTGCCAGTGGTGTATCCTGGTTTTGTGCTGCCCTAGGCAGGACAAAACTCAGGCACCCCCCTCCCCCTGCGCCACCCCCACCCCCACCCAACCCTTCCCCCCCCGCACACACACACACACACAGTCAAAAACAAACACACACAGTCAGACACAGACACAAACACACACACACAGTCAGATACACACACAAACACACACACACACAGTCAGACACACACACACACAAACACACACACAGTCAGACACAAACACACAGTCAGACACAAACACACACAAACACACACAGTCAGACACAAACACACACACACAGTCAGACACACACACACACACACACAATCAGACACACACACACACACAATCACTCACATTAACACTTTTTTTTAATTTATTTAACCCCCCCCCAGCCTCCTTACCTTTGGGAATGCTGGGGGGGGGTTCCTATTTCTCCCTGGTGGTCCAGTGGCTGCCGGTCAGACTGATGGGCTGGCGGGCGGCGCTGGCTGATGGGCGGGCGGGCGGCTGGCGAGGAAGCACTTTCTCTGAGCTGAGTGCTCAGCTAACTCGCGCGCCGCAGAGTGAGGCTGGGAGCCGGAATATGACGTCATATTTCGGCTCCCAGCCTCACTCTGCGGCGTGCGAGGGAGCTGAGCAGACTGCTCAGAGGAAGTGCTCCCTCGCCTGCCGCCCGCCCGACCATCAGCCAGTGCTGCCCGCCAGCCCAGCATGTCAGTTAGCCGCGAGGCTAACTAGGCATTTGCCCTGGGCATTTGGGGGCGGCATTTTTTGCCGCCCCCTGAAAAATGCCGCCCAAGGCGAATGCCTTGTTTGCCTCGCGGCTAATATGTCCCTGGTTCCTGCCAAGATCAATGGGCACATGAGTCAATACATGAGCTATACTAAGAAGGGAATTGGCAAACAACACTAGAGGCTCAAAACAGCTGCTGGTAGACCAAGCAGTCAGACAAACTAAGACCAGACAGACCAATCTGTGAACGGCCTTGGAAAAACCAAGAAAGTATACAATACAATGCCACACACATGAATACTTCAATGCTTAGCTCTATACAAAAGCCTTCATCGAGAACTCAAAGAGCTTTAATCAAAAACTCAATCTGCAAGTAGAGATTAACTCTAGAAGCCTATTACGGGACGTTTACACACGTGAACATCAAATGTGGCATATAGCAAGGTGATTCTCTGTCCCTGATGCTGTTCTGCTTGATCTGGTTGAGGCCTCAAGCCCCTCAACCAGATCATTTTGAAAAGTGGATTGGGATACAGGTTCAAGAGGAGAAGATACCATCAGCCACCTCCTCTACATGGAATTATATCAAGCTGTATTTCAAGAATGAGTGGCACTCAAGGATTCACCAAACTAGGATATACAAGCACATCAGAATGTCATCAGGACTAGATAAGCAAAAAAAAAAGAGGCAAGCTATGAGAACTGAAATAGTTGAAATGCCAGAAGGCCAAATAGAGGATGTAGAGAACAGCTACAAGTATAGGGATGCCACAAACACAAGGCAACCAAGAGAAGGATGCAAGGAGGATAGCAACATCCAGGTACCTCTAGAAAGTCAGACAGATCCTGAAGTCCCAGCTCAATAGCAAGAACAAGACCTGGAAACTGCCCATGATGAATAGAGGATTCCACCCAAAATTCAGCACCTGGAGACTGTACACAAGCTGGAAGGAAGGAGGATGGGGCCTGTTGAATGTCCTGGCCACAATCCTGAATGGAAGTCAGAGCAACCATAAGCACATCATAAAAAAGGTCACCAAAAAATATACTGCAAAGGGAATGCCTGAGACAACAACAGATAGAGGATGCAAAAAAGGAGGCTCCATGGCAAGACAAACCTCACCATGGGATCTTCCATTGGCAGATAGTAGATGTGGCTCACATTATGAAATCCTATAAGTGGTTGAAAAAAACAGGACTGAAAGACAGCACTGAGGCACTAATCCCAGCAGCACACAAACAGGATCAGTAGTAGCGGGTGTCTACCACAGCAGCAGAACCTGTGCAAAGCAGCCTCACAACCAAGGGCAAATTACCAGGTGCAAGATGTTACGAAAGCATTCCCTGAGAAGCACAAGCAAGTTGCTGGGCTTGTGTACTAGACACGTGCAATTCGTTGCGGTCCGAATATGAATTCGGATGAATTTCGGGCAATTCAGACATTCGGGTACTTCCGAATGTCCGAATTGTGAAGTTCTGAAATTACCGAATTTCCTAAGTGTCGAAGTGCCGAAGTTCCGAAGTTGCCAAAGTTCCGAAGTGTCAAAGTGCCGAAGCACAGTATTGCCTAAGTGCTAATATACTTACCCAGTGAAAGAAGAAGAATGTTACATTGTATACAATTTTAAATAAAAAGTATACAAACAGAGCCAGGATTCAGCTGTAAGCATTTGCAACATTTACAACAATCAAGTAACACACATTCATATAAAAGGTAAGTTACTTAGCCTGTCAATGTAATGACAGGAATGAATAAGTAGATAACTCCCTAATTCCTACGGTATTAGGGAGTTATCTACTAAAAGGCTTAAACCCACCAATCAAAGTGCTCTGAGCCTAATTGCAGAGCTTTATGAGCCTTCCCCCGCCCTGCAGAGCTCAGTCTGCGCGGAGCCCTCCATGGGTGAAGATGGATTATTTTTTTTTGCGCTGTTTTTTTTAATTGCGTCGGTTATTATGGATTTTTATTTGGCCTTTTTGGGGGCTGAAAAAAATAAGATTTTAGAAGAAAGAAAACATTGAATGATAAGTTTTATTTTATTTACAGGAACATAGTTAAAGGACCCCCCCTCATTATTTTGGGGTAGGGGGTTAATTTTTTTGGGGGGGAATGGGGTGACTAGGGGTTTGGGGACCCCTAGTCACCTGGGGGGTAACATTTTTTTTAGGGCCCCCACCCGCCGCTCAGGGGTGGGGGCCGGGGGGGAGGACAATAGGTCCCCCCATTAAAATTTAGGGCCCCCACCCACAGCTCAGGGGTGGGGGCCAGAGGGGAGGACCTTAGGTCCCCCCCCTTATAAGTATTTAGGGCCCCCACCCACCGCTCAGGGGTGGGGGCCAGGGGGGAGGACGATAGGTCCCCCCTTGTTTTACTGTAGGGCCCCCACCTACTGCTCAGGGGGGAGGATATTAGGTCCCCCCTTATTAGTATTTAGGGCCCCCACCCGCCACTCAGGGGTGGGGGCCAGGGGGAGGACATTAGGTCCCCCCCAATTAGTATTTAGGGCTCCCACCAGCCGCTCAGGGGTGGGGGCCAGGGGGGAGGACATTAGGTCCCCCCTTATTTTAATTTAGGGCCCCCACCCACCATTCAGGGGTGGGGGCCAGGGGGCAGGACATTAGGTCCCCCCCTTATTATAATTTAGGGACCCCACCCACCGCTCAGGGGGGGGGACATTAGGTCCCCCCTAATTAGTATTCAGGGCCCCCACCAGCTGCTCAGGGGTGGGGGCCAGGGGGAGGACCTTAGGTCCCCCCCTTATTAATATTTAGGGCCCCCACCTACCGCTCAGAGGTGGGGGCCAGGGAGGAGGACATTAGGTCCCCCCAATTAGTATTTAGGGCCCCCACCTGCCGCTCAGGAGTGGGGGCCAGGGGGAGGACCTTAGGACCCCCCTTATTAGTATTTTAGGCCCCCACCCACCGCTCAGGGGTGGGGGCCAGGGGGGAGGACATTAGGGCCCCCCTTATTTTACTGTAGGGCCCCCACCCACCACTCAGGGGTGGGGTCCAGGGGGCAGGACATTAGGTCCCCCCCCTTATTATAATTTAGGGCCCCCACCCACCGCTCAGGGGTGGGGGTCAGGGGGGAGGACATTAGGTCCCCCCCTAATTAGTATTTAGGGCCCTCACCTGCCGCTCAGGGGTGGGGGCCAGGGGGAGGACCTTAGGTCCCCCTTATTAGTATTTAGGGCCCCCACCCACCACTCAGGGGTGGGTTCCAGGGGGGAGGACATTAGGTCCCCCTCCCTTATTAGTATTTTAGGCCCCCACCCACCGCTCAGGGGTGGGGGCCAGGGGGGAGGACGTTAGGTCCCCCCCTTATTTTACTGTAGGGCCCCCCCTTATTTTACTGTAGGGCCCCCACCCACGCTCCGGGGTAGGGGCCAGGACATTAGGTCCCCCCCTAATTAGTATTTAGGGCCCCCACCTGCCTCTCAGGGGTGGGGGCCAGGGGGAGGACATTAGGTCCCCCCCTTATTATAATTTAGGGCCCCCACCCACCGTTCAGGGGTGGGGGCCAAGGGGCAGGACATTAGGTGTCCCCCCTTATTATAATTTAGGGACCCCACCCACCGCTCAGGGGTGGGGGCCAGGGGGGAGGACATTAGGTCCCCCCCCTAATTATTATTTAGGGCCCCCACCAGCCGTTCAGGGGTGGGGGCCAGGGGGAGGACATTAGGTCCCCCCCAATTAGTATTTAGGGCCCCCACCTGCCATTCAGGGACATTAGATCCCCCCTTATTATAATTTAGGGCCCCCACCCACCGTTCAGGGGTGGGGGCCAAGGGGCAGGACATTAGGTCCCCCCCTTATTATAATTTAGGGACCCCACCCACTGCTCAGGGGTGGGGGCCAGGACATTAGGTCCCCCCCTTATTTTACTGTAGGGCCCCCCTAATTTTACTGTAGGGTCCCCACCCACCGCTCAGGGGTGGGGACCAGGGGGGAGGACATTAGGTCCCCCCCTTATTAGTATTTAGGGCCCCCACCCACCGCTCAGGGGTGGGGGCCAGGAGGGAGGACATTAGGTCCCCCTCCCTTAATAGTATTTAGAGCCCCCACCCACCGCTCAGGGGTGGGGGCCAGGGAGGAGGACGTTAGGTCCCCCCCTTATTTTATTGTAGGGCCCCCCTTATTTTACTGTAGTGCCCCCACCCACCGCTCAGGGGTGGGGGCCAGGGGGAGGACATTAGGTCCCCCTTATTAGTATTTAGGGCACTTTTTTTTTTTTTTAACAGTGAGCAACCACGGGCTGCTTACTGTTTACTAGACATGCGCCTACTCGTGTTAAAGAGAGTAGGGGCAAAATTTACTAATACTAAGTAAGTTTTACTTAGTATTAGTAAATTTGTCTGAAAGACCAATTTAGGTCTTTCAGCCTTTTGGTAGATAACTCCCTAATACCGTGGGAATTAGGGAGTTATCTTCTAACCGACTGCAAAAGAAGTGCTGAAGTCCCGAAATTCCGAAGTTGCCGAATTGCGAAAGTCCCGAATTACCAAATGCCGAGCCAAACCGAAAATTTTCCCCATGCACATGCCTATTGTGTACCAAGCCATCTGCACAGAATAAGGACTGGACATACCAAGGTCTCAGTGGGAGAAACCACAAGGGGTAGTTGAGAAGGACTTCCAGATCCAGACAGACAAGCAAGTACTGGACAACCAACTTGACCTGATAGACAAGGAGCAGAAGACTGCAGTGGTGGTGGATGTGGCTATACTCCTTTACCATAACATTAAGAAGAAGGAACATGAGAATGTGGACAAATTCCAAAGACTAAAAGAGGAGCTAGAGAGGACGTGGAAAGTGAAGGTGGCTGTAGTCCCAAATGTAACAGGTACATTCTGGCAGTGATGCCTGTAGTGGAGCTGCAATATTAAATCCCAATATCTCCGCTGGTAGAATAAAATAATGCAAGAAAAGCGCTGAATGAAGGCAATATCTCAAATCCCGCAGTAACCGGACGAAACACAGTGCTGGGAGTCAACCGAGGTTTTTATTCACAGGTCCCAGTATTTATGTGGTTCCCCATGCAAAGGGGTTTCCTTAATCACTTTACAAGGGTTATACAGTAGGGGACTACATGTAGAACTGAACATACAGGACATTTTTCCCACCATGCACTGCTGTACGAGAGGGGTACTCCCATAAGAATATCCTGTTAAGTGGGTTATCCCTCTGTACAGCAGAACCGGGCTTTTTACTTAAAAATATATAACTTGCACATTATTCGTGCTATTGGACCGAATGACATATAGGTAGATAGCTGGGATCTGAGCGCATACTTTAGGAAACTATCGCTCAGATCCCAGCACAATTAGCCGAATGCCAAACTTAGTACATTTTAATAGGAACTCATTAGAAAAGACACAAATGCATATTTTGAGAGAAAGTACGGAAAGACTGGTGTTCCTGAACGGTCTGGAAGTCCAGCGGTGTTCGTGCCGTCGAGTATCCGATTTTAGTTCCAGGCACTCGACGGCCAAACACCGCTGGGCTAAAAGTGAATCCAAGATGGCCGCCGCCGCGTGGTCGGTATCCGAACGGCGGCCACCCCGCGAATCAATTAACTGGGGAACGATACATTGTTGCAATCTGTTAATGAGAGCCACACGACCTCCTGTGTGTGGTCTCCCATTCGGTGCTTTGTTCATTTCACGAATAGTGTTGCAAGTCACTGTTCGTGAAACTACCATATGAATGCTAGCTGCTTTTCGCCACTAGCATAAGAATGCCCTCTATCACCTTTTTAAGCGAACACATAAAACAACATAGATTAAACAGCCTCTCTAGGACAACCATTAGATACCAAGGGATAGTCTTAAGTGGCTAGGTTTGCCACAATGCCCAAGTTTGGAAAGTGGTTTCCGCAGATAGGTGGGATATCAAAGATCCCTGTCCAGAAGAGTGCACTTCCAGAAACAGCTAAGATACCGGGCAGAACCCCCAGACTCCCACACCTCTGCTATAGTACCCTAAAATTAATAATACACGAATACCACCCCGAGGGATGAGAAAGGCTTCAGGTAAATCAGGAGGGGCTGTCAAATATAATGTTGGGCTGGATCCCTTGGTCTGTTACCAGCCTGGCAAAGCCCCTGGTGTGACCCCTTACTGCTAGAAGTTACCAGGCACCATAACCATTGCCTGGGCTGTAATAGTTAAAGGTATGTAACTTTCTTTTTGTAATTTTTTTTTTAATGCACTAAAAAAATAAAATGAAAACTATGGGGCCCTTTTCTCCGTGTAGGCATTGCTCTATTCCTGAAACCCCACAGGTCTAAAAAAAATAACAAAACCAAATCCAAAAACACAAGAAACAAAAACAAAAAACATGGCGGCCTCACACGTGAGCCTGGCGTAGGGCTGTCAATCAACCCAGTGGGCGGAGTCTGTTAGCCTGCGAGCGAGCGGAGAGAATAGGAGAGGGAGGAGCTGCCGGGCTCCTGTAGTCGTGACGTTATGCAGCGGGAGGAGTGTGATTCGGAGGAAGCCCCGGTGCCCGGCTCCTATCTGTCTCCGTGTTTCCCCGCTCCTGGAGTGCGTCTTGTCGCCGCTGTGAGTTGTGAATGTGACGCTGGTTCCCGCGCCTCTTCCAGCATGGCGGCAGATCCCGCTTTGAGCCGCATGCTGCAGGCCGCTAGCTATGGTACACGGAGAGGCCTTGCTGTGTGTCTGTATTCAGCCATGCCAAGGGAGGAGGGGGCAGGATGCTGCATGTCGCCTTCTCTGGGCTTTATTCTCATAGACTGGCGGCATACCCGCCTGCACCATGGGTGCTTAGCTATTGTGTATAGTAACAGGGCCTCCGGGACACAGCTCTGTTACATAATGACGGCAGGGGCATTCAACGTGCTGCCTTGGAGTATGTAGCATTCATGTGCTACTGAGGGATAAAGGGCTAATCGAGGGACAATCCTAAAGGTTTTCCTTTGGCGTATGTAGCGTTTAGCTGCTACTGAGGGATAAAAGGGGTAATCAAGGGACAATCCTAAAGGTGCTCCCTTGGAATATGTAGTATTCCTGTGCTACTGAGGGATAAAGGGCTAATCGAGGGACAATCCTAAAGGTGTTCCTTTGGCGTATGTAGCGTTTAGCTGCTACTGAGGGATAAAAGGGGTAATCAAGGGACAATCCTAAAAGTGCTCCTTCGGAGTATGTAGCATCCCTGTGCTACTGAGGGATAAAAACGATAATCAAGGGACAATACTAAAAGTGCTCCTTTGGAGTATGTAGCATTTAGCTACTACTGAGGGATAAAAGGGGTAATCAAGGGACAATCCTAAAGGTGCTCCCTTGGAATATGTAGCATTCCTGTGCTACTGAGGGATAAAGGGCTAATCGAGGGACAATCCTAAAGGTGCTCCCTTGGAGTATGTAGCATTCCTGTGATGGTGGGGGTGTAAAAGGGGTAATCAAGGGACAATCCCAAAGTTGCTCCCTTGGAGTATGTAGAATTCCTGTGATGCTGGGGGTGTAAAGGGGGTAATCAAGGGATAATCTCTAATGTGCTTCCTTGGAGTATGTAGAATTTTTTGGATGCTGGGGGTGTAAAAGGGCGATCAAAGGACAATCCTAAATGTGCTCCCTTCGAGTATGTAGAATTCCTGTGATGCTGGAGGGGTAAAGGGTAATTAAAGGACAATCCCAAAGGAGCTGCCTTGATAAATTCATATGCAGAATAAATAATGGTTCAGGCACTCTGGGATAATAGCAGCTTTATTGGGGGCGAAAGCAGCAATGTTTCAACCCCACCGGGTCTTTATGAGCTTGATAAAGACCTGGTAGCGTCGAAATCTTGCTGCTTTTGCCCCAAATAAAGCTATTTGTTATCCCAGAGTGCCTGACCCATTACCCTAGATCTCAATTCTGTGCGCATGCGCAATGGACATCAGTGACGTCAGCTCCTGGCAGAAGAGGACCCGCTAGATCAAGATGGCTGTGCCCACGAGGGACAGGTTCAAGTAAGTAAATTTCATCCTTCACTGCCCCCTTCCACCTCCAGTCACCGGGCCCCCAGCGGCCATGTCACAGTTGGAGATCTTTGTGAATTTGGCTGTCCACGGATGGTGACCGTGCCACTTTAAAGTTTCACTGTAGGCTCCCAGAACACTTGGGCTCATTGAAGCGGTCTGGGTGCAATGTCCCTTAACCATGCAGTAGTAGTTATTGAGAAACTGCAATAATTACTATCCAGGGTTAACTCCAAATCTAATGAGGACTTCCTGGTTTGAAACGAATCTTTGGTTATCTGATGCTGGACGTCCTCACGCTCTGCATGAGGACCTCCAGCGTCAGATTTTTTCCCCCCAAAGGAATGCATTATTCAAAACTTTCCTACAGGGAAATTCTAATGTGAGCGCAGCCATTGTTCCTCATGCACATTGTCTCCCCTGCTGACTGATGGCGGGGGAAGAGCTTGGGCGGAGCCTGACCCGGCATTTGATTCAGGTAAGTGACTGAAGGTGGTTTAACCCCTTTAGCACAGCAGGAGGGGAGCACTGTCGGATTTTATAGTGCCAGGTACACTGCTTTGTGTTCCCGGCCCTATTGAATCCCTTTAACTCTATGAGTGGGTTTTTTTTTGTTTGTATTTGGGTGCTACTAAGTAGAATACCAGTGAAGACATGAATCTTTTGTCTTGGGCAATAAGTCAAATAAAATGGCACTGCTATAAGTCTATTCCCCATCTGTTACCCTGTCTTAATAGAAAGTGTCTTTTGTTTTGTTTGTTTTTGCATAAAAAAAGTGAAACAAATGATCAGATTACTATTCTTAAAAATCACAATTATTTTGTAGCCTTTTTTTCCTTTTAGGTTCTAAAGAAAGTAATTAGACAATACCACAGCTTGCTTGGCCACTAATTACTTGTGTTTGTAGATTGCATCCCAACACCATATTAAAAGCCAGTGCATCATTAAAAATGCGTCCTGTGCGGAAAACTAAAGTTAGCCTGTGGTAATTATTGATAACTTTTGTCACTCTGTTTTGGTGTTCTGAATTAAAGGACCACTCTAGGCACCCAGACCACTTCAGCTTAATGAAGTGGTCTGGGTGCCAGGTCCAGCTAGGATTAACCCATTTTTTTTTATAAACATAGCAGTTTCAGATAAACTGCTATGTTTACAAATGGGTTAATCCTTCCTCCAATTCCTCTAGTGGCTGTCTCATTGACAACCGCTAGAGGCGCTTGCGTGATTCTCGCTGTGAAAATCACAGTGAGAGCATGCAAGCGTCCATAGGAAAGTATTGTAAATGCGTTCCTATGCGACCGGCTGAATGCGCGCTCATTTCTTGCCGCGTGTGCGCATTCAGCAGAATGGGAGGATCGGAGGAGGAGAGCTCCCCGCCCAGCGCTGGAAAAAGGTAAGTTTTTACCCATTTCCTCTCCCCAGAGCCGGGCGGGAGGGGGACCCTGAGGGTGGGGGCACCCTCAGGGCACTATAGTGCCAGGAAAACGAGTATGTTTTCCTGGCACTATAGTGATCTTTTAACGATTGAGCATCATGGGAACCGTAGTCCCCAAAATCTGCCCCTAATTTTTCTCTCTTGTTTTATGTTCATTTTATAAGAAAATACCCTGGTCAGTTTAGATGCGGTTAGCAGTGAATACAAAACTGAATTTGGAACACTTACCTTCAAATTCCCATGTGCATAAGGCCTTCCCCATAGGAAAGCATTAAATCAGTGCTCTCCTATGGGGATTTTGAAGACACTGGACATCCTCATTCAAAATGTATTTCACTCGGGGAAATAGCAGGAAGCGTTTCTAGTGGCTGTCTGCTGGACTGCCACTAGGAGCAATCTTAACCCTGCAATGAAAACTTTGCAGTTTCTCTAAAACTACAGTGATTTCAGCTGCAGGGTTAAAGTGACAGGGATACTGCACCAACACCACTTCAATGACATAAGGTGGTATATTTGCCTATAGGGTCCCATTAAATATACAAATCTGTATCACCAACACTATAGTGTCCTTGTCCCTACTTATATTCAGGTCCCCACTGTGTGCATTCAGATAAATAAAAATGTACTTACATTTTTTCAGCTCAGAGGCTCCCAGTGGCACTCCTTACCTCTCCTCTGCCCATGTTACACGGAGGAGGCATGGCCTCTCTGCGATATTCCATTTCAAAGCTCCTCATTGAGGAGCATCGGGGACCTAATGCGCATGCTCAGTGAGCATGGCACGCACATTCAAAAGAAGAGGATGACTGCACCCAGACCACTTCATTGAGGTGAATTGGTCTGGCTGATTATAGTGCCCCTTTAATACACATTTGTCTCTAAAGTGGCCATCTCTTCTGTCACCACTGCAAAGTCTCAGCAAAAATATGGGCTCATTTCCAAGCTTGTCTTTAAAAACTAGCTATTGGACATTGTTAACAATTACAGCAAATGGGTGTCTGCTGCAAAAAAATTCAGACTGATTTTCTTGTCCACTTCTGTGTTTCTGTGCTGCTTGTCTGCTTTCACAGATACAGACCATCACCTGGTATTTAATGTTTTGTAAAATGGATGAACATGAAGATAAAAGCATATTGAACAATTCATTGCTGTAGCCACTTCACAAAGGATACTGTAAAAAGCGTGCATGCACACTTCGCCTGCTGTCATCGAAGCAGCTCCCATTAGTGTTTTCATGCTCCTGACTCGTTTGTCTTGCAGGTATTTATTGATGGTGTAATACGCCATATTTATAGGTAGATCTGAGTGCTTAAATTGACTGTCATCTCAAACTTTCTCCTATTGTTTCATTGTCTCCTCAGCAGAATCTGTTTTTTTGTTTTTTTTTTTATCTGATCTTTCTCTGTAAATATTAAGGGACTACTTTATCTTATGGTTTTTTTCCTACACATGACAACCTTCACAAAGAGTGGACATTAAGGCAAGCTCCACCATCTTGACAAAGAAAGTGGAGCTTGTCTTGGGTGTTAAGCCCATCCTTTGTCAAGAATAGGAAAAATACAGAAGACAAAATAGTCCCTACCTTGTCTTATGTTTTGAAAAGAACATATTCTGAAGAAGGAAGAGAAGAGAAAACAATTGGAGAAAGTCACGTTTGAGGTGACATCCACTTTAAATATAGAAAATAAAATTAATTTTCAGTTTTTAACTTGTCTTTTCCTCTACATCTAGATGAAGCATGTGCAGGCCCAGGTGGACCATTGGGCAAATGCCCAGTGGGCCGCGATGAGTCTGAGGCCGGCAGGGGAGATCAAGGGATCTGCCCTGTAGACTAAAATGCAGACCGGGTGCATTTGCGGCCAGAAAGGGTAGGAGGAGGAAGGCTGCCAGTTGCTACACACGTGAGCTCCGCAATTCGGAGCATTGTTGCAGGTTACTACGGCAACGCTCCAACACAGCGTGGCGCTCACGAGAAGTGAGGTCTCGATCTGCACCTGGCCGACGTGCAGGTTTTAGAGACACCCATACCACTGGATGCGCACAGGGCTCTCGGTGTCCGTAGCTCTCTGCCAAATGTTAAGTACAGGCCACAACACATACTGCACCCCTCACAAACACTATAGACACACTGCTCTCATCCGTTACACAAACAGGACATCCTTAACGCGCACACTGCACAACCTACACACACAGCATATTCAATATATACACTTAGGAACAAGCTAGAACCCCTAGAGACACACACTACATCCATGATATAACACAGGGTACATCCATCACATACAGAGTACATTCCATATGCACACTATGGATCCCTTACAAATATGCTAGATCTCCTACAGACACTTTGCACCACCTACATACACAAACACAACATTCCTGACACACAAGCCGCTCACTCTACACATGCTCAATACCCCAATTAGCCACCAAACGCATGTACAGCAGTCTCTCCTGGCCTTTTTGTCTTCTTTAGTATAGCTATGCGCATGCTCACTTTGGGGGTAAGGGGGGGTGCTTGTAATGGGTGATGAGACAACACTCCTCCTCGCTGGCTCTGCCCCATACTAGTGGTATTCCCTGATTAGAAAATGCCTGGGGCCAAATTTCTTTTCCAGTCCGGTATTCTTTTTGATTACCCGTGAAAACCCCCTACCGTCGTCACTTCAGGTGAGGGCAATCATCTCGAGCCTGTGCCGCACATGCATGCTAGAACTCCTGCTACTCCTCCACAGCAAGGTCCTGGAAGGTAAGTAAAGCTAGTTTTACACTTTCATTATAGTTAGTGCATTTACTAAGCATGGGACATTTAGGGGTTAATGTTGGGGTCCAAAGTAGGGTTTGATTTAGGGGGTTGTCTTTATTTAGTGATCTTTCACATTAGGGGATTCTTTAAACTGTGATTTATGTCACCCTTTTTATTTTAATCCTTACCCCAACGGTTGGGTTTGGAATTAGAGGAGGTTAAAATAGCTTGCCTAACCCTAATTTGAACCCTCACTTAACTTTAAATGTCCTGTGTTCTTAAGCTTGGTGAATGCACCGACTATAATGAAAGTGTAAAATTAGCTTTACTTTCCAGGACCTTGCTGTGGAGGAGTAGCAGGAGTGCTAGCACACATGTGCAGCACAGGATCCAGCTGATTCCCCTTACCAGGGTAGGGGATTTTCAAGAGGTAGGGAATTTTGATAGAACACCCATGTGCAGCACAGGCTCCAGCTGGGGTAAGGAGATCTTATAGAGGCTCTGAGCATGTCCTGGGAAATCCTCCACAGCAAGGTCCTGGAAGGTAAGTAAAGCTAGTTTTACACTTTCATTATAGTTAGTGCATTCATGAAGCACAGGCACGGGACATTTAGGGTTAAGTGAGGGTTCAAATTGGGGTTCGGTAAACTATTTTAACCTCTCTCACACTTTATTCTAACCCTTGGGGGATGTGCATTTACTTATCATCTAGCATCTTCTAATATCTTTGTTAGAAATTAAACAGTTTGTCAGTCACTGATAACAAGTTCTTAAAAGGTACACTCTGGAAACTGGTAGTCACTTTATCACCCTGTTTGTAAACAATTCACAGGCACTTTAGTGTTCAGTAACAATAGGCAAACAAAAAGAGATAAAATAGGTTCGACTTTTTTTTATTTTTATTTTTAAAGGAACATTGTAAGAATCAAAATAATGTTGTCTTAATGTAGTGATTTGTGCACATAGATGATGTTCTTTTTCTCTGGCAAAGTAAAACATTGCAATTTCAGAGACATCGCAATATTTAAATTTGCCAGAGAACATGCCTCCAGTGGCTGTCAGGTTGACACCCACCAGAGATACTTCCTCGTGAAGACTTTTTGAAAATCAAAGGTATTCAGGTTTGCACAGCATGACCTTTCCAAAGCTGTTAAAGAAACTGTCAAAGCACCATGACCACTACAACCTGGAGCCATGAGTAACCAGATGTAAAAAAAATTAAATAAGAAAACGAGTACTTGTTCGGTTGAGAGCACTAAGCTGACGCTCTTGGTCAATAGGCTCAGTACTGCAATGCTTTGCTCTCTAGAGCAATCTGTCGTCTTCTCAGGAGAAGACCACATATGGCTCATGTGGTGTAGGTGCCTATTGGGATCCCAGTTTGTTGTCAAACTGTACTAAGTCGTCTACCCGTGGGACAACAGGGCACTCCTGGCACCATAACCACAACAGTGGACTTTATTGGTTATCGTACATGGAATGTTCTTTAAATGAGAGGCAAGAACTTTTTGGGCAGCAATTACCGTTCAAATGTCATTAGTCTTCAATATGATATATATTTGAGATCACACCTGATCTAAATTAAGGCAGATACATTGCTGTGTCCCAAGACCTAGATTGCAATTAAGTTTAAGGCATTTTATGCAGTTGTGTTTTGTTTTTTTGTGTGTGTGTGTGTTTTTCAGTTTATAAGGGGAAGCATGAATCTAAACCTCTAAGTTAAAAAATAAATGTATTATAAAACCTTAAAATTGACTTATAATAAGTATTATGTGACTAGGTATAGAATGCTGTTTTATCAAATAATAAATAAACGCCATGTTACAGTGCATTTTCAAACCAGCTCATGTTACTTACATTTACAGGCCTTTGTTACACCATGGAGCAAAGATATTTTCAAAACCCGTATCCTGACTACAACCAGCAAGAGTCATCAGACTTCACCTCCACAGGGCAGGTGAGTTTTTTTAGAGTGCGATACTATGTATGTGCAGAAGAGGATTTCATGTCTTTTTAAAGGAGTTTTAATAAGTGCCCTTAACGAATCTGACATACAGAAGGTATACACATTCCACACCTTCTATTGAAGTGTAAAATATGTATTCCTGACACTTGTGGATGAAATAGTGTGACCTTGAGATGTATTGTTCCAGAGATAATAGTAAGTGCCCATGTCTCTAACACAACTGAGAGCAGAGTTATGTAGATTGTCAGTGCATGTCTTTATTGTGTCTTGGATAAGTGGGACAAAGCATCCTTATCTTACATCTTTTGGTTTCTTATTTATAGCTGTCATCTGACTTTGTACACCGCCTGAATAGTAAGATCAAGGAACTCCTTCAGCTAATGGAAAAGGGTCTGAAATCTGTGGACCCTGCTGACTGTACCACTTACACAGGATGGGCAGGTAAACACTCACCCAGAAATATATATATAATGTACAATATTTGTCACAAGACACACGTGAAGCCATACTGGGGGAGTTGTGCATTACATTGCATAAAGTTGCTCTAACGTTATTTTGAATGATGGTGCATTACATCTAAGGACATAAAATTTTTAATTGTTTAAGATTATCATAGCAAGAACTCAAACGCAAGTAATAATCTGTTCCTATACTCCTCCAGTGTGACCCAAATTCTGCTAGAGGAGTAATTATAACTACAGTGCATGTACTGTAATTGCTGTAATGGAGAACTGCTTGTGTGAGGGTTCTCCTGATATGTCCTGTCATCCTGTCAATGTTGGTATAGACCTCCTATGCTAAGGACTGATCTACAGGTATAGAAAAATCTTTTGATGGCTAGTCATTTTTTTTATTTCAAGTAAATAGGAGTACCATGACAGGTGCATTAATAAAACCATGTTAGGCTCCCAATAGATAACACTTGTTTTAATTCTTGTTTACAGCAGGGGTAGTCAACCTTTTAATACCCAACACCCACTTTTTTTGTATCTTTGATGGTAAAATATAGCGCAAGTGTGAATATTTTTATTTATTTTTTTAAGTTTAAAAAAAAAAAGTACTTTAAATGAATCTAAAGGGTGCTGTGTGGGGTTGTGTGTGTGTGTGTGTGTGTGTGTGTTTCTTTTAGGAAATATAAAAGTACAAATATAGCCTTTTTTAACCCCTTAAGAATGGATGCAATTATACAAGTTCTGTACCAACATGAAACCTGGAATTTGATGTGCACCCATGCTTATTATATATCTTTTTGTTCAGGAAAAATAACTTTCATTTAACATTGAATATTTATATATCAAACCTAATTTAAGTGTAAAATATTTAATTGTTTAATATTGATAACAAATGTACAGTATTTCTTGTACTGCTCAGAAATGATTAGAATAATAACTGTCAGCGACTAGGTTCATGCTTACTTTTTGTTTTTATATTCCAGGAATTGCGATGTTGTATTTACACCTCTCAGATGTGTATGGAGAGCCATCTCTTTTGCAGAAAGCACAAGAGTATGTCCAAAGAAGCCTGCGCTGTTTGACCAGAAGGGACGTCACTTTCCTTTGTGGAGATGCTGGGCCATATGCTATAGGAGCTGTTGTGTTTCAGAAGCTTGGATACTCAAATGAAGCTGATGATTGTATCAGGAGGTAATCAGATCTACAGAATAGTCTCTGCAGTCCTTCTTGGCACTTCCCTGTTTTTGATTTACAAAGCATTACTTGCATCCCTCCTCCCCCCACCCCCCCCAATCCCTCACCTCACACTCTAAAACCGGTAAAAAGAAAAGATTTTAAACTTAACTGGAATCCAGCTCTATGCACTTAATAGAGAAGCCTTTAATTGGACCGTTTCGCCTTTGGCCTGTGTGTGCATGCTGACAGCAGAAGTACATTTTGCACAAAATTGACCGTTCGGAACAAAGTTCAGGGAGGCCTAAGTGGTGTGTGCCGGGGGTGTAACTAGCCCTGGCACACAAGTGCAAATGTCTGATTGTGCTGTGTTTCAAGCAAAAACTCTTCACATCCGGACTATTACTACCATGACCACTGTAAATCACTGTGGCGATTGGAGTAACTTTATAAGTGTATTGGTTAATCTTTTTTTTTTTTCCTCTAAAATTACTATAGCCTGCATATCTTCCTGAGTTAAGTTGAAAGTTAGGTGTTTTATAGGGACTGTTGCTTAAAGGATCTCTATAGTGTCAGGAAAACAAAGCGTTTTTCCTGACACTATAGTGCCCCCACCCTCAGGTTCCCCCTCCCGTGGCGCTGAAGGTGTTAAAACTCCTTCAGTTACCTTAATCCAGCACCAGACTCCCTCGGCGCTGGTGACCTCTCCTCCCCGTCTGACATCAGCTCCCCCGTCCGTCACTGGAGCAGAATGCACATGCACGGCAAGTGCTGTGCGCGCATTCAAAGTGTCCATAGGAAAGTATTTCTCAATGCTTTCCTATGGAAGCTCTGCACGATGGAGGTGAAATTCTCTGAGACTAAGTTTACATGTGAAGGGTTAAAACCTAAGGGACCTGGCACCCAGACCACTTCATTGAGCTGAAGTGGTCTGGGTGACTATAGTGTCCCTTTAACCCCTTAACTCTGTTACGGCGTTCTATGCCGTCCCGCATTAAAAGGGCTTTAAAGCCGTTGCGGCGGCATAGACCTCAGCCCATGCAGCTCTCCCCCGCCAAATGAGGCCCCTGGGGGCCATGTGATCGCTCTCAAAGAGCGCTCACATGGCCTGCTATAGCTGGCTGTGGATCGGCCAGCAGGGGGACTGTCTGAAATGTCAGACAGTCCCCCAGCTGGTGGGAAGTATTAAAAAAAAAAAAAAAAAAAAGACGTGTAAAATTAAATTATAAATGTTATATATATTTATATTTATACGCATAATTACAATAATAAATAAAATATTGAAACAAAATTAAATATAAATTATATATGCATATGTAATTTCATTCTAACTGTATTTTGTTAAAATATATGTGTGTATGTGTGTATATATATCACAAAATACACTTAGAGATATATATAGAATGTCATTCTATCTATATATAAAATACAAATAAGTGTGTGTGTGTGTGTGTGTGTGTGTGTGTGTGTGTATACATAAAAGATTACATTAGTATACACATAGAATTTAAATACTTATAAATGCATATATAGTAAAATTCTACATGTATATTTAGGTAATCTTTTAACATAATTATGTGATTTGATTAATTAAAATTTGATTGACATGCCTGACAACACAGGGAGAAAGTGCAGAGAATTTAATTCGCAAGCACTATATTTGACCCTGTAACTCTCCAAGACACCATAAAACCTGTACATAGGGGGTACTTTTTTTTTCCTCGGGAGACTTTGTTGAACTCAAATATTAGTGTTTCAAACTGGTAAATTGTATTACAACGAAGATATTTTAAGTAAAAGGGACTTTTTTGCATTTTTTACAAACAAATGGCACTTTTATGGACTATATTATTGTAATATGTTTTACTGTTTTAAAACCCTAATATTTGTGTTTTAGTGAAGTCTGCCGAGAATAACGGTACCCCCCATGTACAGGTTTTATGGTGTTTTGGAAAGTTAGAGAGTCACATATAAGGCTTGCATTTCATTTTTTTGACATTTGAAATTTGCCAGATTGGTTATGTTGCCTTTGAGAGCGTATGGTAGCCCAGGAATGAGAATTACCACAAGGTATTGCAAGTGGGGTCCAGTCTTTCTTAGTAGCCACTTAGTCACAAACACTGGCCAAATATTATTTTTTTGCTTTTTTTCACACAAAAACAAATATGAACGCTAACTTTGGCCAGTGTTTGTGACTAAGTGGCTACTAAAAAAAGACTAAACATACCCCACTTTCAATACCTTGGGTTGTCTACTTTTTCAAATGGTATGCCATTATGGGGGTAATTCTCATTCCTGGGCTACCACACCGTCTCAAAGGTAACATTACTAATCTGGCAAATTTTCATTAGAAATTCCAATGGACCCTTCTTCGTATTTCTGTATAGAGTACCTCCAGGATGCTGATTCAGGGGGTTACAAACAATTTATTTTTCCAAAAAACAGGAAACAAATTAAAATTCGATAATACTAGAAGAATGTCCAATAAAAACAGGAATCCGCAACACCTAAAAAGAGTTTCGGCTATTAAGCCTTCATCAGAGGTATTGTGTATACTCGTGGCGTGCAATCTTTTAAATCCTCCTTTTGGTGCCTTTTTCGCCGTAATTTCGGCACTTCATTTCCGGGTTCTGCGTCAGAGCGTCATCTGCGTCCTCACGCTCTGACGTCACTTCCGGTCTATACGTCATCTTCTATCAGAACAGTTACTTCATTGGCGAAATGGAGCAAAAAAGGATATACAATCTACTATACAAAGTTCCATAGAAAAGTCCGATAGTGTGTGGCCTTTTCAGAGATGCTTTGTGAAGTGTCCAAAAATTAGTATTAGTGAAGTATAATGCACCGCATACGGTTAGAGAGGGGAGTTACAACTTTGAGATTTGCTAGCATGAGTTCTATTTCTTTCACACACAATGTTCTGAATGCTTACTACTATCCCAATGGAACTCATAATGTAGATATTGGTTGACAGTCCTCTTCAGTGCTGTTCTGTCAATGCCAAAACTGCGTTGTCTGTGCAGTACAATGGAATCTACATAAAAATAAAATACCAGAGGCCATCTTTCTCCCCATTAGTCTTGGAAGTATTTTCTACATTAAGTTGGTTTAACCATTTAAAGATTGACACTGCCATTTTTAAAATCTTCTTTTTGTATAGTTGTTGCAGTCTATTTTTTGTACTTCTTCTCTTTCCATGTCTGTTCCGCCATAATTATCCTGTGTTTCTTTCTGCAGCCTCCTTCAGATGCATGCTTCTGTGATAAAGTTGGACTCCCGACTCCCAGATGAATTACTCTACGGACGTACAGGATATCTCTATGCCCTCCTTTTTATCAACAAACAGTATGGGATGGAGAAGATCCCTTTGGGATACATTCAGCAGGTATGAAACTGCTTTCATTTCAATTGAATGTGCACAGATTTGTTTGTCACCTCTTTTCTTTCTGTTGCTTTCTTTTAAGTGGATTTGTACAAATCTATCTTCGATGAATAGCTGATGCTGTTGCATACAGCACTGCTGGCTTACAAACCTTTTTGAAGTACCGATTTTTAGTGACAGAAAGCACTATCGCAGTATATTCTTGTTGTATAGGTTATCATGCAAGGAGGATCTCTATCACTAACCCTGCAAGATAAGTTATCTTCATACCTACTGTGTTAGAGGCATCTTTATAGATGCTACTTTCTTATGCGTCCACGTCTGTACCTTCGTTCAGAAAATGTTGTGTTTTAAACTCAGCTACAGATACAATTGTGAGGGAGCCTTTCAGAAAAGTGAATATTCAAACAGATGTGACTGCTCTGCATTTACTCTCCACATACAAGCTGTCAGAGAAAAGCATATTGTCTGTATGTGAATGAGAGTAATTAGTATAGTAGTTCTGTATTTTTTTTTATTTTTTTTTTTAAACAGCTGTATACCTAATGGCAATGCGACATGGCCTGTAATGGCATAGGTCATTATGATGCCAGGAGGGTCCATTTAATTCTATCCAGGTTGGGACGTTACACTTTGTTCATAACCTCATCTGCCATAGAAGTTCACTTATATTTTGTTTTATTGCTTTCTTGCCAGGTGTGCCATACGGTACTGGAGTCAGGTCTGCAGTTGTCAGGACAAAGAAACTTCACCGCTCAGAGCCCACTGATGTATGAGTGGTACCGAGAGTATTATGTTGGCCCTGCCCATGGCCTTGCAGGGATATACTACTACTTAATGCAGGTAAGATGCTGAACTAATCAAGGCTACAGTCACATATTAGGAAATAAACACGGTCTGTAAGAATGTAAATCACATATAATTAAAGTCTAGAGGAACCCAAGTTTCTTGAAGTGGCTATTGATCTCCTGGAATCTAACGAAGGCAGTAGTTTCCTTATTTTATTTTTGGTTTGTTTGTTTTTTACGACTCTTGTAATCAGCTACTGCTCTTCTTCAAATCTGTATGGAAAGTAATTGCGTTGCTCCTTTAATACAAAAGACAAAACGTTATAGAATAAGTAATTTTAATGTAGTTTAAATTCTGGTTTGATTTAGAAGACTCAAAAAGAAAATTGTACAATACAGGAGTGTCTGTGTCTGTCGCATATAGTCTTGTAATGTTTAACAGACTAGCCCATTAAGCTTGCAATTAACACATATCCGTTTCAGTAGAACACACATTTATTTTGCAAAGTACAAATAATGTCTTCTTTCCCTTTTTAGCCTGAATGCAACCTTGGTAGTGATAAGCTGTTGACCTTTGTGCGACCAAGTTTGGACTATTTCAGCCATCTCAAGTTCCAGACTGGCAACTACCCACCCTGCATAGGCGACCATAGAGATTTGCTAGTACACTGGTGCCACGGAGCCCCAGGTGTCATTTACATGTTAATCCGGGCCTATAAGGTATATGAAAAATCCTTCTTACAGAGGTTGTGAACTGTAATGTTTAAATGTTTATTGAAGGATCACAAAAATAATCAATACAGTGTAGTTTGAAAAATTATCAAATGACTAGATGTTTAGAAATGTATATTTTAAATTGTGGTATCTCCCTATCTACCCATGAATTTTCAGCAGAGACAATGAGTATAATGGCGTTAAAACGATGGAGATCGCGTAAGTATATGAAAACATACAAAGCAAATATCACCTGTATATTTATGATAAATTATTTAATTACTGCATAAAGAGCCAATAGAACTCATATTAAACCTGGCTTGACAGGTTCACGTTAAGTAACAGCACTCCTTTAACATCCCCTGGGAGATTTTTAAATGTACACAAAGGATTCCTTTAACAAGAAGCAGTGTTTTTACTACTGTTTTAGTAAAGCACGGAGGGGATGGCCTTGCCTCCATTGAATGTCAATCAACTGCATGCTATGCGTGCTAACGACAAACTCATTCTGTGCACAGAATTCAGAGCACCACCTCTCGTTCCAGGCTTGCTAATGATGCTGCTGGAAATAGTTACAACTCTGGCAGCAAAACCAAATAACTCTGTATCTGAAATGCTGCACATACAAACTCCACACAACATGGCCCTTTTAAATTGCTGAAGTTGTCATGGTGCTTGGAGTAACTCTTTTAACCCCTTGAGGACCGCGGACGTATCGTGTGCATCTGACAAAAAAAGTCATTAAAGATCTCGGACGTACCTGATGCATCCATTGTGAATTAGCGCGCTGTTAAGCGAGCCTGATCGCTTCCAGCTGCTCTGACGTTATTGCAGCGATGCCTCGATGTCGAAGCATCCTGCAATACACCCCCTCACTGCCGGGCCGCTCCCCTGGAGCGATCACTTCCAGGTTGCCCGGCAGAGCATCGGAAGCCATCAGGCAGGCTTCTAATGCTCTGCCTGTGCTGAGTGACTCGAGGGGTTGAGGCACTCAGTGAAGATAAAGTAGTCTTGTTTTTTGTTTTTTTGTTTTTTTAAAACCTAATTTTTAAAAAAAATTATCCCCTTCTCTCCCTCCATTCCCATTTACTTACCTGATCACCGCCGTTCCCCAAACGGCAATCGGTCTTCGCCACGGGGGAGAGAGACACTGTCTGACAATAGTACCCCTAGGGCCATGTGATCACTCTGCGATAGTGATCAAATGGCAGCAATAGCTGTCCATAGTGTTGTCTGCATGGGGACTGCCTGAACTGACAGGCAGTCCACCTGCTTGTGAAAAAGTTTAAAAAGTAAAAAAAAAAAATAGTCCAGAAATAAAAAAATAAAAAAAGTATTCTATTTATATATGTGTATATAAAGTCATACTAAGTGTATTTTTAATATATACACATAGTCTTCAAATATATAAAATATGTATATTTAAAATTCTATGTGCATATTTATGTAATATTTTTACATAATTAAGTCATTTTATTGATTGCAATTTGGGGGACCTGCCTGACAACCAAGGCAGAAAGTCCAGAGAATTTTATTTGCTAGTACTATATTTAACCCTGTAACTTTCCAAGACACCCTAAAACCTGTACATGGAGGGGGGATTCTGTTTTACTCGGGAGACTTCGCTGAACACAAATATTGGTGTTTCAAAACCGTAAAACGCTTCACAGCGATGATTTTGTCAGTGAAAGTGACGTTTTTTTGCATTTGCCACACACAAACTGCACTTTCACTGATATCATTGTTGTGATACGTTTTACTATTTTGAAACACTAATATTTGTGTTCAGCAAAGTCTCCCGAGGATAACAGTACCCCCCATGTACAGGTTTTATAGTGGTTTTGAAGTTACAGAGTCAAATATAAGGTTTGACATTTTGAAAAAAAATGTTTTTTATTATTTGCCAGATTGGTTATGTTACCTTTGAGAATGTATGGTAGACCAGAAATGAGAATTACCCCCGTGATGGCATACCATTTGCAAAAGAAGACAACCCAATGTATTATCAATGGGGTGTGTTCATTCTTTTTTAGGAGCCACTTGGTCACAAACACTGGCCAAAGTTAGCATTCAAAATTTGGCCAGTGTTTGTGACTAAGTGGCTACCAAAAAGGACAGTACGTACCCCTTTTTGAATACCCTGGGTTGTCTACTATAAAAAAAATATGGCTTCAAAAATGTCCCAAATATGGTCTTTTAGCCCCCAGAGAACCCAACACACCTATACATGGGTGGTATCACTGTACTCAGGAGATATTGCTGAACATATATAAGGGTTACTGCCAAAGAACACCCCAAAAGTTCTCAGTACATGTATTCTTAAATTGCTATGTGTGTCAAAAAAATCACTTTTTTTCATTCCCACCAATTCATGCCAAATAAAAATGAGTCAAAATACCCCAAGTTTAATACCTTAGGTTGTCTTCTTGAAAAAAAATATTTACGTGTGTAGGTTTATTCAGGGATTCCTGACAGATATCAGTGTTACAATGTAACAATGGTTTGGAAATGGCTACTTTGTACTTATTGTCCTATAACTTTCCCAAAAAAGCTAAGAACACGTTAACATTGGGTATTTCTAAACTCAGGACAACATTTTTAAACTATTTAGCACAGGTTTTTTCTTTGGTTGTAGATGTGCAACAGATTTTGGGGGTCAAAGTTAGAAAAGGGTTGTGTGTGTGGTGTTTTATTTTTTTTTTTTTTTTTTGGAATCCTATTTTATTAAAGATTTATAGTAAATTATGATATGAGAATAATGGCATCTTTAGAAAGACTTATTAACTGTACCCACACATATACCGTTTTTCTCGTAAGAGGAAGATTACAGCTAAACACAAACACCGCAGAAATGTAAAAACAGCCCTGATCCTTAACGGTAAGAAAATTGAAAAGCGCTCTGGTCACTAAGGGGTTAATAGCCATTTTGCTGCTGACGTTATTGTAGCAGTTTAGGTGAATGATTGTGTAAAATGTATTAGTCAGCAATAAAAAATAACTAAATCTAGACAGGGGTTCCCAACCCAGTCCTCGTGTACCTCCTACCAGTCCAGGATTTAGGGATTTCCCCGTTGTTTCTAAAGGTTGTTTTTTGTTTGTTTTAAACACCTTAAACACAACTGGGTAATCCCTAAATCCTGGATGTTGGTGGTTCTTGAGGACTGGGTTGGGAACAACTGATCTAGAGCTATGACCATCATGTCTTAATGTCAGGATTATTCACTAAAGTCTGAATTCAAAGAGAATTTGAAGCCAAAGTAGCCAAACTTGGAAGCATAGCTGACATAAGAAATGTTTCCAAGTTTGGCTTTTTTTTACCTTGAATTTGACATTCACCCCAAATTCACTTTGAATTCTCACTTGAGTGAATAACCCCATATGTCCTCAAACATTAAAATCCCTGACTGTATATAATTGGTACTATACTCCGTCTAAAATAGCCAAAATGTTTCCGCATTTAGGTGACTCAAGCTGGAGATGTGGTTTCCGGGTGGGAACCTATATACATATTTGGTGGACCTGCCCTGTAGTGAGGCTGCTGTGGGCATGGGCTTTCAATATTTTTTTTACACTATCCAATAATAAATGAGAAGACCCTGCCACCGCCCTTTTGCATATAAACTTGCATTCCAAATCACTGAAACTAAGTTGTATAGCGGTGCACTGTTTAGTGGCCGTTAAAATTATAATTGCTAGAAGATGGAAATCATCCATTCTCTTTCAAAAAACTCACTTGATTAAACAAATTAAATATCAACTGACTATGGAAACCAATCTGATTAATAATGTGTCTAATGCAATTTATAAGAAAGGGATATATAAGATGTGGTTGGACAATATCTTATTAATATATGGCTGACCTTCTATTGCTTATAGTTGGATTCTTCATTATTCACAATATTTTTTTTTTTTTTTTCCTATAAGAATAAGTTGGATTGGATCTTGTCCTTAAGTAATAAAGTGATAGAGAAGGGAGGGAGTAGTGGGAAATTGATTCGGTTATACTGTATATACTTGAGTATAAGTCGACCCGAATATAAGTTGAGACCCCTAATTTTACCCCCCAAAAATGGGAAAACTTATTGATTCGAGTATAAGACTAGGGTGGGAAATGCAGCAGCTACTGATAAATTTATTAATAAAATGAGATCCCCAAAAAATATTAATTGAATATTTATATGCTGTGTGATGCAGAGCCTTGGTGGGGGGGTGGGTATCTTTATTTTTTTTATTATTATTTTAATAATTTTTATTTATATTTTTTCGTCCCCCCTCCCTGCTTGATACATGGCAGGGAGGGGGGCTCTAACTCCCTGGTGGTCTAGTGGCATGGGCTGTGTAGGAGGGGGCTGGCAGCAAACTGTAACTTACCTTTCCTGTAGCTCCCTTCTCTCTCCTCCGTTCCTGTCAGCTCCCACTGCAAGTCTTGCTGTGTGAGTGCTGCGCGGAGCGTTGCCACGGTAACCCGTGGCAACGCTCTGACCCCGCAGCTCTCGCAAAACTTGCAGGGGAGCTGACCGGGATGGAGGAGAGAGAAGGGAGCTGACAGGAGCTGCAGGAAAGGTAAGTTACAGCTCGCTGTCAGCCCCCAACAGGACCGCCAGGCTTGTAATGAGCCCGGCGGTCCTGGTCTGTATTATGGCAATGTAAGTTGTCATAATACATACAGTGACTCGAGTATAAGACGAGTGGGGGTTTTTCAGCACAAAAAATGTGCCGAAAAACTCGTCTTATACTAGAGTATATATGATAAGTCTTTTGGACATACGATGGTAGATTTATCTGTTAAAATAATTTTAGGACTAATTTTCTCCCACTCTGGTGTGAAAGATTTTGTTGTTTGTGGTTTTGCATTGTGCGATTGTTATTTTTTTATACCTGTCCTGTTAAAATATATGTATTTAGATCAGTATTGGTTTTTGGATAGGTTTTGTATATAAATGTTATATTTGTGAGATATGTAATTGATGAAATTTTCAATAAAGAAATATTAAAAAGAAAAATCCCTGACTGTTGCCATTCCAGGTTTTTGGCGATCAGAAATACCTGATAGACGCTTTGCATTGTGCAGAAGTATGTTGGCAGCGTGGGTTACTGAGGAAAGGCTATGGGCTGTGTCATGGATCAGCTGGAAATGCCTACAGCTTTCTTGCACTCTACAACCTGACCCGTGATTTAAAGTACTTACATAGAGCATGCAAGGTAAGTGTGTCTTTCCATCAGTAGGATGCACACATTCAAAAAGCCTTTCCATAAAGGAATGTTATGCAAGGCATGTTTCACCTCTTTGTACCTAGCTAAAATGAATCTCACTACATCATACATCACTGTAAAGCAGCATGTCATGTTGTTTTTGCATAATTTCATACATTGCTATAATCCCTCTGTCGGTTACTAACTAAATGGGAGTTATGGATATCTGAGGATTGCAAATTTTATGCCAAAAATTGTTAAATGTGAAACCTGCATTAGCTGAACTTTCAAGGCTCATTTTGACAAAAACATTTTAGAATTCCCTTATCTTTTCTCTATTGTGAACTGTTTAATTCATAACTCTTTAATACGTTTTCATGTGTAATCTCTGCGCTAAGTAGGTCTTGTAAAGAGTTTCCTGGTTGTAATTGATATGAAGCAAGATATTTATATTTTTTTAATGCATATTTAGCACGATTAGTCCTGATTTATGTATTTATTTATTTTATTTTTTTTACCATGAATAATATCAGTTGCACCAGTCTTCTCTAACACATTGTTACCGATTTTGTTTCACAAAAGGCTTCAAACAGAAGAAGCCACATCTTGTGGCAACTTTGTTTTGTGAATCTGGCTGTTAGTCACAAGACTTCATGTACTTTGATTACTAATGTAGCTATTTCACAAGAATCATTTGTAAGATGCAACACAGCCTTGGTGCTCTGTGTATCATTATGACTGGTTTAAAGGATGCCTAATGTTTAAGAACTGGTTTTCTTTACTCCAGATCATCCACAGAATCTTTGGTCCTGGTTTGGTTTTTGATTATTTGTGTGATTTGAGCTGAAGATGGCCCTCAATATATTTGGAGTATTTTTTTGTACAGACTCTTGGCATGCTGAACATTTTTGTGTACTTTCAATTGAGTGGTTTTATTTTGCATTCCGAGTATTCTTGGAACTGATTTGTGATAACTGTCGCATTTAATCCGAGTCTTTCTGATATAAACTTGACATGGTCCTCTAAAATAGGAGTGTTTGTTTGTTGGAGCTCATTTGTTGTTTTGTTGATGGTAGTTGTGTACTTAAGGATCTAGAACCCAATTCTGGGAGAGGCACTAGAACATAATTTAATATCACTCTCTCGCAGTAGGATTTATTTACTGTACTCTGACTTGCAGTGAATTAAAATCCACAGAGCAAAATTTAGGCAAACTGCAGATTTTAGAGAACTATGAACTCACAACTATGCTATAGTCTGATCTTGACTCTTTCAGCCTTCATTTTGTCTTCTGGAATTCAATTCACTACAATTTGGACAATGGTGAATAACATGTGGATGTGTGTGTGTGTGTGTGTGTATATATGTATGTGTGTGTGTGATAGATATATAGATAGAGATAGAGATATATATATATATATATAGTTTGTGATTGCAGTGGTGTAGTAGTATTGAGGACTAGCTTGTTTGTATGCAGTTGTGGGTGTTGCCTATCCTCTTCTCCCTGCTTGTGTATTTCTCCATCTCGTACTATTCCTTTATCTCTCCCCCACTTGTGTCCATCTGCTTCTATTCCTCTTTTGACTGCTTGTGCCCCTCTTCCCATAACCACCTCTCCCCATGTGAGTACATCACCCCCACCCACTCTAGCCCCACTGCCCATATCCCTTTTCTTTTTGTCTTTATCCCCTTTATCTAGCCATCCCCTTTTTACCTGTCCATTACACTTTTTCTTCTGTCTGCCCCTCTGCCCATACCTCCCTTGCTCACTTCTGTCCTGCCTACTGAACCCTTCCCCATTTGTGTTCCTTTACTCATACTACCTTAATATCCTATCTTGTGCAGTCTGCTTCCACCCCCCTCTGCTTTCTACCTTAATGAGTGTCATGGGAATTGAAGTCCTTGGAGCAAGCATGCTTTTGCAGTACTCTATGAAGTTCTGGATGTTTTGTGCAGAGGGTGGAGATACACCGTATCCTTGCACTCTTTACCTGCTTCACAGCCCAGCATTTAAGAGTCCTGGTAGAGCATGCTGTGTTCTTGCTTCCAGGACTCTGACTCTATTGCCCTCCAGTTAGCCACCAGCCCTGAAACACAGACATACATGTACTCGGCATGGATACCAGTCTAGCCAGGTAACTCTGGGTGGGCATTTGCCCTGGATCCATGCCTGTATGTACTCGATAATTTTAAGTTCTGATGATGGTTTGCTAACATTAGATGAATGTGTGAGTACGTTTGTTCTAGGATCCATCTCTGCTTTCATCTGTGTTTGTTACTTTATATGTTACGGCTTTAGATTTGTTTACATGATTGTTCTCTAGATCTGCTGCATCCAGCATATATCTCTCCACTTATAGAAGTATAATTCCTATGAATCTCAGCCAGCTAGCCATGGATACTTATTTTTGAATTTGTCTGTTAAGGTTAATTTGTCCCTTTTTTTTTTTTGGCTTCTTTTTATCTGAACTTACTGTCCTACTTTGTTTTGTTCTTAGGATGAGCAAATAAATGTTCTGTTTTAAAGCCCTTTGATTGTAGTTGACTTTTCAATCTGTCCTTGTGATGTTAAATAATATTTACATCCCGGTATATTCTGTTTCCGTGATAGTTGTGCAATGTGTCCTGTTCCAAGCTAACCTTTTCTTTTCTTTTCTTTTTTCTTTCTAGTTTGCAGAATTTTGTATGGATTATGGTGAGCATGGCTGCAGGACACCAGACACTCCTTTCTCTATGTTTGAAGGTACAGTTTGGGAATCATGTCCTATTTATTTCTTGACCTAAAATAGCATGTGTGGTAGACAAGAAGGAATTGAAATAATATGAAAAATACTTAAAATACCAGTACTGAATAGTTTTTTTTAATTTTACTCTATTGGGGGGGGATTGCTGAGCCTTTATAGGTGCAGTCTAAGGTCCATTATCACTAAAGCAGAGAAGGGCAGAATGAACCAACCCTGAGACTGACTGCAACATACAAGATTTGACAGTGCCACACAGACCATTTATAAAATAAATATACATTTTGCTGCCTTTAAATGAACCTTCGCATCTTAAAAAAATATATGCGTGGAAATATGTGTTTTGTGCAGTGGGTATTAGAAGATAGTTAGGTAAAACATTGAATTATGTTCTTGTTAATTACCCTTCTTGTCCCACCTAACTCGACAGTCACAATTCAATGGCTGAACACCATTTGGCTACTTTGACAAGCGTTGTAGACCTTTGCTGAAGGTATATGTAGACAGTGGCCCTTTTTTGTTGTTTTTTTAATATATACAGACACTCCTCACTTACCGACCGGGTTCCATTTCTGCAACCCAGTTGTAGAACGAATTGGTCGGTAAGTGAGGATTTAGATTTGTTTACATGATGCATTCGTCTGTGTACGGGGAAACTTCCCCGAACATAGACAAACACACCTTAGCAAGGAATCCCTCTAATCTATGCTTGGGAAGATTTCACCGAACATAGATTAGAGGGATTCCCTGCTCTCATGCGTTCGTCTATGTTCAGGGAAGTTTCCCCGAACATACATGTGCACCAGAGCAAGGAATCCCCACGACGACTCGCACTTACACCTGGTCGTAAGTGTGAGCCGTCGTAAAACACTGTATACCTCTGATGTTTTAGTGTTTTGGATCATAACTAGTTTAACATGTGCCAAAATTCCACTGGGGTTTTAAAGTGACTCTGTGTATAAATGATTTCATTTATAGGGGACACTATATAGGCACTATAACCAGTTCATCTCATCGAATAGGTTATTATGCTTGCAGTCCCCTGACCCTATCCGTCTATTTAGTGTTAAACCATTTTTGAGCAGTTTAACTGTGAGATTTCTGGCTGCCCACTGCACAGCCCTCGCTAGAAGTATGGCTAAGGCAGACCTTATACACTTCCATAGCCATACCAATTCAAACCAGCAATCGGTGGCTCTGACAGGCTGAGAGAGATCAGCCTAAAATTTCCATCTTATTTAGTCTCTGACACCTATTCCTGCTCATTATGAGCAACACCGAGGGGATGGGATGCTCAGCTGTCTCGTTTGGCATTAAAACATTAAAAACTGTTTATCAATGAACAGAAGTATAGTGCCAGGAGAGTCCAAATTCTAAAACCACTTCAATGAGATGGAGCAGATAACCTAACCTTGTGAAATGTTTTTAGTGTATCAAGCCCTGTTTGTTTAAAAAAAAAAAAAAAGGCTGTTTGGATTGAAAAACAATGCATGCTGATTCCCTTAACCACCTTTTATCTTCTCTCCTCTTCCAACAGGTATGGCCGGGACAATTTACTTCCTGTCTGATTTACTAGAACCATCGAGAGCCAGGTTCCCAGCTTTCGAAATCTGAGAACCGTTTAGTGCACCCCCCACCCCTCTTAGTTCCACGTTGACAGCGTCATGGAATAATGCTTGATGTAAAAGCCATAAAAACAGCTTAGCATTGATAACCAGCATTCAGTGATGCTTTCGTACACTGCCAGATATGAAACTCTGTTCACAGACTTTATCTGTGAAAAGTATAACTTCTTATTAAAGGCATATGACAAAAAAAGTGAACTGTAAATAGTTGAATGTAAAAAGTAACTGTGTTGCATGACTCTTTAAACCCTGCATAGGCATCATCTTGTCATCTCTGGCACATTATAACATCCTCTGTCTGCTATAGTTGTGACACAGAGGCTGATTGGCATTTATTGCTCATTAACTTCTTACCTTTGCGTGTTTTCTGGAAAAGAAATTCAATGTTTTTAAAGGGGAACTATCACTTCTCTAGGACGTAAACCATTAAAACATTGAAAATCATCTATAACTTGTGGTAACCTTTTTTGTTTAAAGATGCTCCATTTTATGTTAAATATATTTAACAGATTTGGATAAAGTGATATAGCAACCCAGTTCAGTTTGTGCACAGTCAGGGCACACATTGTATTGAAGGAGAAACAAATATTTAATTTTTCTGTTTTTCCTCTTCTACTAACTATGGTGACTAGCAGAAAAAGCAGAATTTATGACAATGACTGAAAGGAAGCAAAGATGGAGGCACTAATTCTGGCTAGAAGTAAAAAAAACAGCGGTGTGAATTTCTACATTTCATTTTTTTTTTTTTTTTTAGATCTCACAAAGACATATATGGTGGTAAATATAGGGAATAAGGAAACCTAATATTAAAGATCTTGGGAAGTGACAGCTTCCCTTTTAATATACTTATTAGTTGCAAGGTGGTCCCTCCCAATGAAAAAAAACATCTTTCAGTGAAAACCTGTATAAGTGAGAAACAAACGTGCACGTTTTAGAATATCCAGCTCATATGATTTATAATGTAGTTTGCTTGTACACATTGAAGAATTATTGAAATAAAATACTTTTTGTTTAATTTGATTCCGATGTTTGTTTAGACTATTTACTAAGCCCAATTCACTTTTTGGGCACTTCTGTTACAACCCAACTTCCCATTTATTTCCTCTTACTATTCTTCAAAGTAACGTTGGGAACAAATACTCAAATTTAACTATAGTGTAGATTTCTTACATTTATATTTCCCAAATTAACATAATTATCAGTTTATTTTTTTATTTCTGCCTTCCTTAAAATTAATTGTGCAACTTAATTTATCACATACTGTACATTTTAAAGGGACCCTAAAATCAAAGAATTGTTTGATTTGATTACCAACATCAAAATCTATGTTTTGTTAATCTGTGTGTCCACTGTCATCTTTTATTTTTTTCAATTTGTGAGTTCTAAGGCAATTGCTGCAGTATTTATTTTGCACTATAAAAAGGGAATCCGAATAATTCTAAAACGGAAGAAAACATTTCAGTTCTATCCTTATTTTCACAGTTCCTCAAGAGACAGAGCGGATTTAATGGAGTAGGTAGAGATTTTTGAGCTGATCTATATAAATGTTTCCATTATACAAACTACTTAAAGGGACACTAGTCACCAGAGCAACTACAGCTTATTATTTATTCTGGTGAGTATAATCAGTCCCTGCAGGCTTTTTGCAGTAAATTCTGTCTTTTCAGAGAAAAGCCAGTGTTTACATTACAGCCTAGAGATACCCCCACAGGCTACTATTCCGGGGCAGTGCTGCACAGTGTGCAGCACTGACATTGTATCTCTTCCCTCTGAATAGAGTGACTGAACTTTCCTCATAGAGATGCAGTGATTCCACCCATTGTACAACGCTACGGAATCTGATGGCGCCATATAAAAAAATAATTCAGTGCATCTCTAAGGAGATGATTGGCCAGAGCTGTGTTTAGCTTGTGCTGACTGTGCCCCTGTAGCAGCAATTCCAATGCTTTTCCTTTGGGAAATCACTGTGATTGGCTGAGATCACCACTTCTGATTATGTCAGCTAAGGAGGCACTTCAGGCGGAGCAAGCAGCAGTAGACTGGAATTAATATAAGATTTTAATATAATTTAGTAGATCCAGCGGGGCTACATAGGGTTTCAACACTATAGGGTCAGGAATACATGTTTGTTTTCCTGACCCGTTAGTGTTCCTTTAAGACTAAACAGGCAAAGTATGTGGCTTTACTGCTGCATGGAGAGACTAGTCCTTTGTTTTTTTTAGAGCTTTTACTACAATGAACATGGTTTGTACAGGTGTTAATAAATTTATTTCTGGTTTATTTTATTTAAGTCCCCTGTGCTGTATATTTGGAATTTGTACAAATACACGGTTCGGGCTTCAAGGGTTGTATTCTGAACAGTTGTAGATTAAAACTGCCCTGCTTCATAGTTATTATTCAGTAAACAAAACTGAAAGTAGACAAGTGACTACTGTGATAGCATTTTGCCAATCTGGACATGGATGAAGAGGACTAGCATAAATAAAGCTAAAATAGTTGGTGTTATTTTGGTATCTCTATATACTTTTGTATTTTGAAAGGGGCCTTATCTGCCGATCTAGGTCTCCACGTCTTCTCAATCCGATCATATTCTTGTGGTTTTTATACCAAGGACTCTAGGGCTTTCCAACAACTGCTAAAAAATGTCAGCAGCAAGATGACTGTTGTATAGAGTAATATAGTAAGTAAAAAAAAAAAAAAATTAGCATGTTTAATGCAGAACACAGACGAAGTACATAAAGGGGAGTAATAAGCAGTTTGCGTAAATGTTAGAGATGTTTTTTTTTTCTTCTTTCACTAAAGTTAGAAGTTGAAATGGCCAAACTAGAAAAATAATTGAAACACCTTAAATATACAGTTCTCCTGTTAGTGCTCCACAAATTCCTCCTTTGGTAAATAATAGAGTATTACTAGTGGTGTCCCTCAGGGTTCTGTTTTGGGACCACTTCTATTTAACATTTATAAATGATCTTGAAATAGGCATCGAAAGCCATGTATCAGTGTTTGCAGATGACACAAAACTTTGTATTATTAAAATGTGAGCAGGATATTGCTTTGCTGCAGAGGGATTTGGATAGATTGGGGGACTGGGCACTAAAATGGCAGGTTAAATTTAACGTAGAGAAATGCAAAGTTATGCACTTCGGGGTTAAGAATGCACAAGCAACTTCCACACTAAATGGTAGTGAATTAGGGATAACCACACACAAGAAGGATTTGGGAATTGTTATAGACAACAAATTAGGCAGCAATATGCAATGCCAATCTGCAGTTACTGAGGCCAGTAAGGTTTTGTCATGTATAAATAGGGGCATAAATTCTCTGGATGAAAATATAATTTTGCCTCTTTATAAATCGCTGGTAAGACCACACCTTGAAAATGCTGTGCAATTTTGGGCGCCTGTTCTAAAGAAAGATATCGTGGCACTAGAAAAAGTCCAGAGACGAGCTACAAAATTGATAAAAGGAATGGAGCATTTTAGTTATGAAGATAGGTTAAAAAAAAATTAAATCTGTTTAGTTTTGGAAAAACAGCGCCTGAGGGGTGGATATGATAACATTATACAAATATATTTGGGGCCAGTACTAACCTTTATCTGGAAATCTATTCATAAACAGGGCTATTCATAGGACACGAGGTCACACATTTAGGCTGGAAGAAAGGAGATTCCATCTAAGGCAAAGAAAAGGTTTTTTTACAGTAAGCAATAACGATATGGAATTCTCTGCCTGAAGAGGTGATTTTGTCAGTCATTACAGATGTTTAAACTGCAATTGGATAAATACTTTCAAAAACATAACATACAGGGATATAATTTCTAATTAGTGGGGTAATAGCTGCTTGGTCCAAGGAGACATCTGACTGCTATTTTGGGGTCAAGAAGGCATTTTTTCCTAGTTTGTGGCAAAATTGGAAGCCCTACAGACTGGGTTTTTTGCCTTCTTTTGGATAAACAGCAAAAACATATGTGAGGAAGGCTGAACTTGATGGACACAATTCTCTTTTCAGCTATGTAACTAGTGTTTAGGAATAAATTAATTGAAGTATGTTTGAGATTGCTCGGTTTAATTGTCCTACCACTTTAAAAATAATTTTATGAATGTTTTCTGTCTTGTGGAAACATTGGGTGTGGAGGGGGATTCTCATGACTACTTTGCCATTTTTTCCAGAGAATTAAAATATACCTGGTGTATTATTTTTAAGACTACTGCCATTTCATGATTATATAATCCTACCATCAATGTGTGCTGCTCTGTTTTATTCCAAAATAGCCTGTCATGGTTTTTTCTTTTTTTTTTTTCTCTCCTTAGTTATTTTGTTTATGCCGTAAATGTGCTGTCCACTGTTGAATTTCTGGTAAGTTTAGTGAATTAGCTCGCCACTCTTTAGCGATTAAAGCCTTTTGTGTTCTGCTTTGCTTATGTGTCACCTTCAGGTTGGCAAAATGTGGAGCTCCGTGTCCTTTGTCAACTTTTTTAATTGGTTGCCGTGTTCATACTCGCCTCATTCCAGCAACGCTTAACTTCAGGCTGTGTTGTCACTAACTGTCCATTCAGACACTCTATGTACTGGAAGGGCAGACAAAGCTGTTTCCAAAGGCTGCCATCTTGGAAACTTTAAGATGGCGGGACCAGCACAATGGGGAAAAGAAATAGATGAATCACTGATCTCAGGGCCACTAAAAGTTGTGGAGGGGGGCTTCAGAGACTGGGAGGATTTCATGACAGTCCCACTGTAACTACTACTTGACAATTCTGTCTTCAAGTCCAGGTAACTGTCTCTGTAGCAGGTAATATATTATCCAGCAGATGGCAGCAGCCACTCAGTAGTATATATAGAAGTGATTGGTTCAGAGCTGATATAGAGGCTTTCTCCTCTCCATGTAGATTGCATGTGCAGGACACAAGAGTTTCAAAGACATTCACATACACGTAGTAAAAACGATCACTGTCTAAAACTTCTGTCTGTTTACACAACTGTTCAGTCTGAGACCGGAATAGCAGTGCAGGAATGCCATGTGTCCCTTTCGAAAACTTAATGGTTTGTGTCCTAAGTTACACGTAACAGTAATGCTGTTTGTTTCCTAATGTAACTATTTGCATTTCCTTTTTTATACGAGTGTAAAATTAATTATTGTTTGGAGACTTGAATGATCAGAACTAAAAAAAAAAGGTACTGGAGAGAAATCTGTATTTACTTTTGTCTTTTTTTTATTATTATTATTTTTACTTCCTATAAAGGTTAATAGTAGTTCATTATACTCCCACCAGCCTGCACGTAGGTGCTTGTCATTAAAGGGATACTATAGTGCTAGGAATACAAAGTTGTATTCTTAGCGCTATAGTACATCTGCCCCACCTTCTGCGCTGAGAAGGTTAAAAACCATTTTGTCAATTAACTGATTCCAGTGCTGATGTTCTTCGGCACTTGTTAAGGCTTCACTCCTCCATCAAAATCAGCCAGCGGGGGGACCCAATGTGCATGCGCGGCGATTGCTACGATCACTTTAGGACTTCCCATAGGAAAGCAGTGAGTCAACGCTTTTCTATGGAGTTTTAGGTTATGCTGGAGGTCCTCATACATAATGTGAGAGTGCCCAGCATTATTTTGCGGACCAAAAATCCCACTAAGGATCTGGTAGACAGCCACTAGAGGTGGAGTCAACCCTGCAAGATATTTATTGCAGTTTTTCAGAAACTGCAATAATTACAATTGAGGGTTTAAGGGGACAGGGACACTGCACCCAGAACACTTCAATGAGATAAAGTGGGCTGGGTGCCTATAGTGTCCCTTTAATCAGAACAGTGGAGTCAGTTTCTCTTCTTCTGCTATTAAAGTTAAGATGTTTTGTCCTTAGGAAGTGTAATTAACAAGTACCACTAGTGTTCCTCAGATAACGGAGTATTCAGTACTTGATCCTCTGACTTTGCATTGTTAGTTTTAGCCAATTTAATGTATATTGCACATTTGCCAGCTCAATGCAGGCTCATTGATCCATAAAGCTTAGTCAGTTCTATTTTTTTCACAAGCGAATACAAATCCCAGGTCGTATTATTGCACATGATATCTTGTGTTATATTATTGAGCTCACTTTGTTTTTGTCAACCTATTCAGGTACCGTACTTTAATTACTGCTATCATGGCTGAGGGATCGTGGTCAAGTACTCCACTTACAATACTATGCTTGCACATGTACTTTTCATTCATTTCAGTGAATTGATTCAAATGAAATTACCAACAATTCTCACTTTTACAGTAATATAACCCTGTGGTTGATATCAGTAGAGGTTCATGTATATTAATTTGGGAAATAGTTATGTAAACAACAGAAAAGTTGGTAAAAACCCATTCTGCTGCAACCATTTCAGTGAAAAATCACATACCAGGTTATCCACTAATGTGAGATCTGTTGTGAATTCAGAGTTTGCTGTAGTGGTAATGGTGCCAGGAGTGCCCTGGCGCACTTTCAGGGTAAATAGGTAAACCATTTGCAAATAGTTTGACAATTTTCATGGGCTCCCCTGGTCGCCTCCTTTTGTGCCCCCAGAAGCTGTAAAACTTACCTCATTGGCTGAGCACTGACCTGCATGGAGGGGTCCCCATGGCTCCACAGAAAGCGGTTGTAGGCGCCCACCACTTCTGGTAAAGACAGACATTCCTGCTAGGAGTGTTAATTGGCTCCACTGAGTTAGGGATGAACTTATAGCAGGACTTGATTTCAAAGTGGATCCATATGATAGGTAAAGTGAGTTGTGGACTGTATTGCATTTGGTGATATATGTTCTAGAGCTCTACCAACAGATTATTATAGCACTCAGATACAAAACTGCTTTATTCACTGAAAAATTGCAGTTGTTTTATTTGAAAAATAACATTCAAAGACCCCTCTAATTCCATTTAAAAAAAAAAAAAATATATATATATATATATATATATCTTTACTACATTCCTTTATGTATTTAAATAATCACCCCTTTTAAAATTAGAAAGATTTAAAAAAAAAAAAATAAAGAAAACCTACCTGTAATCCATGGGACCTACTTCACACTCTGCCTTGTTCTTTGCAATTCACATGCTTCCCAGAACAGCATTCAGAGTCATCATGCTGGGTGTTATGACACAGAACGTGGAGACCTTTGATTTTTGAAGTTCCTAGGGAAAAGGTGCCTCTAGTGGCTGTAAGTTTGAGAACCACTGATGGGAAAAGGTCTGTACACCAAAACCACTTTATTACGAAAGTGGTTTTAGTGTTTAAAGTGTATCTTTTAAGCACAGGAAGATAGCTATATAAGCTAAATGGCCAATTGAGATAAACCGATAACTGAGATGGCAAAATGAAAGCTAGATTCAGTGTTTTATATATCACAACTCACTGTTTAAAGAATTAACCACATACTAAATATTTTTAAATTATTGAATTCATCTTTTAAGTCCCAGTGTCACAAATGTCTGTGTGACTTTGATTCTCTTGTGTACAGTGGTGCTGGTGAACGAACATACAGTTACGGACTATGTCTTTCTGTGAATGGGTTAACAAACTTGGTACTAAGATAACACTGAGTTACAGGGGTGGGAACCCAACACGGAGTGTTTGGGATTTCTTGGTCCTGGGCAACTGTGATTGGTTATCTTGTGTCGTTGTGCAGTCAATGGTTTTTGTCGCAGTCCTTGCAGTAAAGCGGAGGGAGCCTCAACAAGACTGACAGTAACTTAATATGGGATTTGGTCATCAAGCTCAAAAGCGTTTTGGAGCAAAGCCCATAAATAGCTGTAAAGATGCTTCTGGGGAATGCAAAGGGTACAGCAAATTAACTGAGCTACCAGGCTTTGGAAACTCAACGGGTTTATTTTGAGAATATTAGATCACTTTGTAACTGGCAAATAACTTTTTTCAATCAATTCGATCGAATCGATTCAAAAGTAGCGAAATAAAAACAAAACTTCATGTTCAGCTAGTTTGGTTTTAAATTTTTAATTCACTTAGATTTCCCAATGGTTTACACTGTAGTAAATAATCTTGTCTGAGAGTTGCAGCAAATTCAGTTTTTTTCTCTTATATACAACAAATAAATTAAATCCGTTGTGATGCTGATAATTTCCAGTTACATTCGTTAAATAAGCACATCCAAACCTAACAGTGCCTAATTCAAGAAATGCATATCTTCAATCCAACTGTAGCGACAATCAAGGCTAATGTTTATTTTTCTTGTATATTTTCTGCTGTGTATTTGAATTTTATTCCTTTTGTATCTAATCTGTCCTGTGTGGCATGCCCGCTTGTTTTATATTTTCCACCATGCTTGAATCACTGTAATGCTGATGGCATTAGTACCTTAATGTAATTTAGAATTATCTGCATACATCCATCTCATAAATCACAGAAATAACAGAATTGTACAGGTGATACTCGAAAAATTTGAATATCTTGCAAAAGTTCATTTATTTCAGTAATGCAACATAAAAGGGGAAACTAATATATGAGATAGACGCATTACATGCAAAGCAAGATAGTTGAAGCCGAGATTTGTCATAAGTGCGATGATTATGGCTTACAGCTCATGAAAACCCCAAATCCACAATCTCAGTAAATTAGAATATTACATGCAATCAATAAAACAAGGATTGTACATAGAACAATATCGGACCTCTGAAAAGTATAAGCATGCATATGGACTCAGTAATTGGTTTGTGCCCCTTTTGCAGCAATTACTGCCTCAATGCGGTGTGGCATGGAAGCGATCAGCCTGTTACACTGCTGAGGTGTTATTGAAGACCAGGATGCTTCAATAGTGGCCTTCAGATTTTCTGAATTGTTCAGTCTCATGTCTCTCATCTTTCTCTCGGCAATGCCCCATAGATTCTCAATGGGGTTCAGGTCAGGCGAGTTTGCTGGCCAATCAAGCACAGTAATCCCACGGTCATTGAACCAGGCTTTGGTGCTTTTATCAGTGTGGGCAGGTGCCAAGTCCTGCTGGAAAATGAAGGCAGCATCCCCATAATTCTCGTCTGCGGAAGGAGGCATGAAGTGCTCCAAAATCTCCTGGTAGACGGCTCGTTGACCCTGGACTTAATGAAGCACAGTGGAACAACACCAGCAGATGACATGGCTCCCCAAATCAACACAGACTGTGGAAACTTCACACTGGACTTCAAGCATCTTGCAGTGTGTGCCTCTCCATTCTTCCTCCAGACTCTGGGTCCTTGGTTTCCAAATGAGATGCAAAAGTTGCTCTCATCAGAAAAGAGGACTTTGGACCACTGAGCAACAGACCTGGTCTGTTTTTCTTTAGCCCAGGTAAGACGTTTCTGACGTTGTTTGTTGTTCAGGAGCAGCTTGACAAGAGGAATACGACATCTGAAGCCCATGTCCAGGATCCATCTGTGTGTGGTGGCCCTTGATGCACTGACTCCAGCCTCAGTGCACTCCTTGTGAAAGTCCCCAACACATTTGAATGGCCTTTTTCTGACAATCCTTTCCAGGCTGCGGTCATCCCTGCTGCTTGTGCACCTTTTTCTTCCACACTTTTCC